GGGGGAGGGAAATGGGAGGCGGTGGCGGGAAAGAGTCAGAAATCTTTAATAAATAAATAAAAATTTAAAAAAAATAAAATAAAATCTACATCTTCACATGAAAAAAAAAAGTATATCTCGCTGGAGAAGCCGCAAACCATTGGCACAGCAAGATATCCCCAATGCTGCAATATTGGCACTTACAGCTTTTGGAAAATAAACTAATTGGACTTACGGTCCACTCAACAGAAGGGAAGTCATGCCTGGTACTGTTAGCCTAGCCAAGAATCTGTGGCTGCAGAGGTCAGAGCCCCGTTGTAAGTAGAGTGGTATCTGGGTCACAGACCCAGGAAGAGAACCCGCCACTTCGGTTTGTAGTTTCCCATACTTCTAAATATTAATCCATACACTCATGCGTAAGTGCAGCTCTTGATGCTCACTCATCAAAGAAGCTTCTTTCTGCCACAGGTGGAGAATATTATAGAGATCTACCAGACTGAAATACAGACTACAGATGGTCTACACTCACACAGATCATCTGTAACACAACCCATTATATCACCATGGAAGAGGTTACATGCATGAACTTTCAAAAATATGACTGTTTGCACATGATCTGCCTGAGGCTACACAAGTCAACATGACAATATGGATGGGAAGAGTACACAAGACTTACGGACAAGGGCTGCTGAGGGAGAATCAGTTTTCCTCAGGATCTAGACACAAACAGGTTGCCCAGCTATAAATACATGTATATATGGGCAATACTAATTTACCACAATAATAATGATAGACATTGTCATTTTTTTGATTTCTAGTACTTTAACAAAACCATACATAAAAAATACACTCATAGGGCTGGAGAGATGGCTCAGTGGTTAAGAGCTTGGGGGAATGGGATGGTTGGGATAAAGGAAGGGTGGATATGGGAGCAAGGAAGTATATATCCTAACTAAGGGAGCCATCTTAGGGTTGGCAAGAGACTTGACTCTAGAGGGGCTCGCAGGTGTCCAGGGAGATGTCACCAGCTAGTACCTTGAGCAACTGAGGAGAGGGAACCTGAAATGACCCTATCCTATAGCCATACTGATATCTTGCATATCACCTTAGAACCTTCATCTGGCGATGGATTGAGATAGAGACAGAGACACACATTGGAGCACCGGACTGAGCTCTTAAGGTCCAAATGAGGAGCAGGAGGGAGAACATGAGCAAGGAAGTCAGGACCACGAGGGGTGCACCCACCCACTGTGACAGTGGAACTGATCTATTAGGAGCTCACCAAGGCCAGCGGGACTGGGACTGAATAAGCATGGGATGAAACCGGACTTTCTGAACATGGCGGACAATGACGGCTGATGAGAAGCCAAGGACAATGGCACTAGGTTTCGATCCTAAAACATGAACTGGCTTTGTGGGAGCCTAGCCTGTTTGGATGCTCACCTTCCTGGACCTGGATAGAAGTGGGAGGACCTTGGACTTCCCGCAGTGCAGGGAATCTGGACTGCTCTTCAGTCTCAAGAGGGATGGGGAATGGAGTGGGGAGGAGGGGGAAGGGAGTGGGGGGAGGGAGCGATGTGTGAAAGGAGGGGGAGGGAAATGGGAAACGGGGAGGAGGCAGAAATTTTTTTTCAACAACAAAAAAAAAAAAAAAAAACAACAAAAAAAAGAAAGACCATTAAAAAAAAAAGAAAGAAATTTAATTCCTTACCAAATCTGAGGAATAGATGGAGGTGGATAGGGAGCAGGCAATGGGAAGAGAGGAGGGAAGAGGAACTGTAGTTGGTATGTAAAATAAATAATTAAAAAAAAAAAAAGAGCATTGCCTGCTCCTCCAAAGGTCCTGAGTTCAATTCCCAGCAACCACATGGTGGCTCACAACCATCTGTAATGAGATCTGGTGGCCTCTTCAGGCCTACATATAGACAGAATATTGTATACATAATAAATAAATAAATTGAAAAAAATACACTCATATTCTTTAACGAAATGTAACTATGTTTAACAAACCTGTGCTGGTTTGAAAGAAAATGGCCCTCAAAGGGAGTGGTACTTTTAGGAGGTGTGGCCTTGTAGAGTAGGTGTGGTCTTGCTGGAGTAAGTATGTCACTGTGGAAGTGGGCTGTGAGGTCTCACACATGCTCAAGATATATGCTCAGTATCTTAGACTACTTCCTGAGAGATGTAGGACTCTCAGCTACTTCTCCAGTACTATGTCCGAACATGATGACAATGGACCAAACCTCTGAATTATAAGTAAGGCACCCCAATCAGATGTTTTCTTTTACAAAAATTGCCATGGTGGTGTCTCTTCACAACAATAGAAAACCTAACTAAGACAGCTTTAGTCTTGTGGTTTCTATTGCTGTGATGAAACTAAAGGAAGTCGGGGCAGAAAAGGGTTTATTTGTCTTATAGTTAGTTCCACATCATAGTCCACCTCTGAAGGAAGACAAGAACTCAAACGGGTCAGGAATCTGGAGGTATGAACTGATGCAGAGGCCATGGAGGGATGCTGCTTACTGATGTGCTCCACATGGATTGTTCAGCCTGCCTTCCTAGAGAATCCAGGACCACCAGCCTAGGGATGGATCACCTGCAATGGGCTGGGCCTTCCCCGAATAATAACTAATCAAGAAACTGCCATACAAGCTTGCTTGAAGCCAAAGTATGTAGGGTTAGTAATTCACAAAATATGCTGAAACTAATGGAAACTGACATGAAGGGGTAAACATGAATAGCAAACTATTATTAATAATATAGACTATGTAGACCAGCATTAAAATGAACCTAACCTTAAGCTATGATGATGGAACTTAATTTTTTAAATGTTAAAGTATACACGCAATGTCTACATAAATATATAACGACAAAACTGTAGTTGGAGGCAAACTAAGGGGTTATTCCCACTTTTCTTCAGTTAGAGCAGAGACACACAGCTAGCTGGGCAGGACACCCAGGCAGCTTGACAGGGCTAGCTCAATATCAACCTGCAACTACCTCATGTGAAGCATTTCCTAAGCTACCCACGAACTACCTTCAGAATCAACTTGAAAAGCTTGTTTCTGAGTTCTCAAATACACGGAAGACCCTTTAGGCATCTTTTGCTTGCTTGCACTCCTAATAAAGCATCCTACAAAGGATATAGGGCTTTGATATCAGGTCTGGATATTAATGGCAGACCCATCATTTACTAATTGTGACTACTGACTAAATGATTATCTTCAAGGCAGGACTCTGTATAACCCAGGTGGCCCTAAAATTTCCTATATGGCCAAAGAGAGCCTTGGAATGTGTGGTTTATGCAATAATAAGGAATGAGCAAGGGGTTTGGACATGCTAGGCATGAACTGTACCTACTAGGCTACAGCCTGAGCCCTAACTGCAACCCTTTAATAGTCCATCACCTACTCCTTTGTGACACTTCATCTACATGGAGTTTTTTTAAAATCTGTCTTATGTAGTAGCTGTGTTCACAAAAAGACAACGCCTATAACCCCAGTAATCACAGAAATACAGGTGATTCTGAGCCAAACTGATGTTTGACGATGACTAATTTGTAAGTTTATCAGGGCAAAAAGCAAAACAGATTTTAGAACAGAAATAGTCAGGATATACTAAAAGCTTCTCTGGAGTATAATTTATTCTCTACCTCTCAGAAATTTGATTATAAAGTCAGGCACACCTTTAAGCCCAGCACTTGGGAGGCAGAGGCAGGAGGATCTCTGTGAGTTTGAGGATAGTTTGGCCTACAGAGAGTTCCAGGACAGCCAGGGCTATACAGAAAAGCCCTGACTCAATCTTCTCTGGAGAGGAAATATGTCTATTTAACTAAATAACTGAATACTACATATGGCTATATAAAGTTTGTACATGATACACAAAATACATAAAGCTATGCACTTAAAACAGATCAAATTTTATACTAGTGAAAAATATGTAAGTCATAATGTGATTTGTGATTATAAAAGCTTTGTTATATTTTTCATCTCATCTTTACCTGCTGAATAAGCTAAGCAGAAATCACAATAGGAATCATTATTTCATTTTCTATATAAGAAAACTGAAGCTTGCCGGGCAATGGTGGCGCACGCCTTTAATCCCAGCACTCGGGAGGCTGAGGCAGGCAGATCTCTGTGAGTTCGAGACCAGCCTGGTCTACAGAGCTAGTTCCAGGACAGGCTCCAAAGCCACAGAGAAACCCTGTCTCGAAAAACCAAAAAAAAAAAAAAAAGAAAGAAAAGAAAACTGAAGCTTAAATTAGTATAGTATGTTTTTTCTGTTTCTCTGTATAGATTTGGTGCCTCTTCTTTTTTTTTAAATATTTATTTATTTATTGTGTATACAATATTCTGTCTGTGTGTATGCCTACAGGCCAGAAGAGGGCACCAGACCCCTCTAGAGATGGTTGTGAGCCACTATGTGGTTGCTGGGAACTGAACTCAGGACCTTTGGAAGGGCAGGCAATGCTCTTAACCTCTGAGCCATCTCTCCAGCCCCTGATTTGGTGCCTCTTCTGAAACTAGCTCTTATAGACCAGGCTGGCCTTAAACTCACAGAGATCTGCCTACCTTTGCCTTCTGTGATTTTAGACTGTGATTTAGGAAAAAGATTAAAATATTCACAGATACTTTTCATCTAAATTAAAAAAATACCAGCATACTAATTATTTATATAGACATCTTTTATATGACTTTAGTAAGTAGCCTATAACTTAAGGATAAGAGTACAAACCATATGCACTTCTTCATACTTCTAAGTATGAAGTCTTGAGAAAACAAGTCCTTGAAGGACAAAATATACAGTGCTAAATAAAATGAATACAGCAAAGAAAATAACAAACAGAAGGTAGTGAAACAAGAATAAGACACAAATAAATGCCTAGGAAATATACAGTCCCTGCAACAGATAAATATCATGCCATTTCCGTACTAGCCTAGACAGGCTCTTCTGTATGTCAGTGAGTCCAGGGTACCGTGACAAGTATTCCTGACTTGCGACAACACACCAGGAATGTACGAGCAAGAAATGTACCTAGCAACAGATGACTCAGCAGAGAGTTGATCCTAATCTTAAAATACTTAGTCTCACTGGTTCTGACATTTCTTCTAGTGAAATCACCTGCATTGGCTCCAAGAACTTCCTATACTGCACTGAAAGGGTTACAGAGATTCAGTTACAGACATAATTTGAGGCCAGCCTATCTCAAAAAATAAACACATTTTTTAAATGAAAGAAATATTTAATAGACGCTACCATCAACATATTTTGAAGATTTTTTTAATATTAAAATTTCATGGGGCTGGAGAGATGGCTCAGTGGTTAAGAGCACCACCTGCTTTTCCAGAGGTTCCGAGTTCAATTCCCAGCAAACACATGGTGACTTACAGTCATCTACAGTGGGATCTGTTGCCATCTTCTGGTGTGCAGGTGTTCATGCAGATAGAGCATTCATATATAAAGTAAAACAAATCTCAAAAGAATAAAAAAAACTTTATTTTAAGAATTTACAAATAAAAAAGCACCATGAAGTGAAATTATTACATCTAAAGTCCAAAGAAGATTTTATAATATAGACAAATTAGTTTTACGATTCCACAGAACATATGCCCTCCCCATAGGATCTAATATATTTTGTTAGAATTTACAGTCAGTAAAATTCACACTTAAAAGTTGGGCTTCTTTGAGCTCATTTTCAGTTGACGGCCAGTTTTCTAATAGCTTTCTTCCTAGACAAGCACGGTAATGTAAAGCTAATGAGACATGCTAGGTCTCTAAACACTTAGCAGTAAGAACATTACTAAAGAAAACGGAGGGTCATTTATTCAACAGGACACCATGGCACGCGCTTTAGCAGCAGCATAGAATGATGTACAAAATTAAGTGCAAAATCCACATGCTGAGGAACGTCGTTTCTCTTCAAGAAAGAAGAGTTCTCCAGTAGACATAAGTACTGTCACATGTGGACTCTAGTTCTAGGGTGACAGATAAGAAACTAGTAGCAGTAGCTGTATGAAAGAATAGTAGTAGTCTAAAGATTAATGGGACAAGGCTGGCCTTGCCTGAAATCACAGTTGCCTTCTAAAGTATATACCATATTATTTATCTCAGAGATAAAAAATTTCCTTTGACAGATTCTATGTCTACCTCAAAACAGGACAGAATCATTCTGAAACAGGAACCCACAACTGAGAAAGTGTGCCATCACACTGACCTGTGGGCCAGCCTACAGTGCGTTTTCTTAATGTCACTGATGTGGGAGGGCACAGCACACAATGTGTAGTGCCACAGCTCAGCAGACAGTTCTGGGTTCTAAAAAAGTCAGGCTGAGCAAGCCAGTAAGCAGCACTCCTCCATCACCTCCGCACCAGCTCCTGCCTCTAGCTTCCTGCCTGCTTTTTTCCATTATGAACTGTGATGTGGATGCATAAGCACATAAAGCCCTTCCCTCCCCAAGTTGCTTTTAGTAATGGTGCCTAATCAAAGCGATAGAAACCTAAACTATAGCACCAGTATACACCAACATACACAATGATTTGCTTTAGAATGTCATCTTAACACTTATTGTCATATTTATATTCACCTTTAATCATATTCATCTCCCTAATGGTCCCTTCCTGCTCCAAAATGGGTCCTACTTGCATGTTATTGCTGTTGCTGTTGTTTTTAATCTGGATTCCACACACAAGGGAAATGTATCTGTTGCTACATAACTAATAGACTTGCAACAATATTACTTCTTTCTTGGCATTATCACTATATAATAAAATGAAGTCAACTGATAGGGGATGTCCTTCTGTATAAATGTGTTGCTTTCATTAAGTTAATGAAAAAAGCTGTTTTCATCAGTGGCTTTGCAGAGGAAAGCCAGGTGGGAAATCCGAGCAAAGATACAGAGAAATGGAAGGCAGAGTCAGGTCAGGTGCCAGCCAGCCACTGAGGAAATAAGACATGTAGAAAATGAGGTAATGCTGTACCAAAGCACTGGACTGAGCTCCCTAAGTCCAGTTTAAGAGTGGGAGGAGTGAGAATATGAGCAAAGCAAGACCATGATGGGTTCATCCACTGAAACAGTTCACCCGAGCTAATGGGAGCTCAGCAACTCCAGCCGGACAGGAAAGGAAGCAGCAAAGGTCCAAACCAGTTCCTCTGATGTGGGTGTCAGTTGTATGGCTGGGGCAGACTGTGGGGCCACTGGCAGGGACACCAGGATTTATCCTTGTTGCTTATATTGGCTTTTTGGGAACCCATTCTCTTTGGATGGATACCTTGCTCAGCCTGGATACAGTAGGGAGGGCCTTGGATCTTCCCCAAAGCAAAGTGCCTTACTCTCTCTGGGGAGGTGAGGGGGAGGGGGGAGATAAGTGGAGGGAATGGGAGGAGGGGAGGGAATTGGAACTGGGATTGGTATGTAAAATGAAAAAACAATAAGTTTTCTCTTTTAAAAAAATAAAATTAAATAGAAAGGAAGGAAGGAAGGAAGGAAGGAAGAAAGAAAGAAAGAAAGAAAGAAAGAAAGAAAGAAAGAAAGAAAGAAAGAAAGAAAGAAGGAAGAAAGGAAGGAAAAAGAGAGAAGATGAGATAACACCACAGCCACATGGGCTAATAGAAATGGGTTAACTTAAGATGCAAGAGCTTACTAGGAACATGCCTGAGACATATTCTGGCCAGTGTTGTAATTAATACAGCTTCTGTACGAGTATTCGGGTCTGGGTGGCTGAGAAACGAAAGCACCGTCTCTGTCTACAAACAACCCCAACTACTTAGCAGCAGATGGTTAAGCTGCCTAGCTTCTACAAGCTTTGATTTAAAACAGTCTTACAAAAAAAAAAAAAAAACAACCAAAAATCAATAAAGCAAATCTCTACTGATATAAAGAAAGATTCTTTGTGACTTGTTTAAACTTGATTTTGTCATGTGTAGTACTCACTGCTAGCTGATTATCGAGACTCAGCACCTCATCCTCCGAGTACTAAGATATACAGGTCTGTTTTATAATATTAATCAACATTTGAATGCATATTCTTTTGCATGAAGAAAAAGGCAGGAAGGCACACACATTCCTACCTTTAAAACTGTCTCATTGGTCAACAGTGCAACTTGCTTTTCTGAAGCTTGTTTTTCCACGTACCTAAAATTTTTGTCATCCCAAGCAGAAAAAAGGGGAATATTAAGCAATTTGCATATTTGAATAGCATGCTGGAAAAATAACTACCTAGAATGGTTTCCCTATTTTTTACATTTCTGTTCAAAAATAAATTCAAGATAACAGTTCGTAATTGCCTTAATGATAATGAAGTCATAAAGGTGATATAGTATCATTTCTAAAAGATAACTCTAGAGAACTTACAAATTATGTAAAATATTAGTAAAAATATTTTTATGTTAAAATTTTAAATCCAACAAAGAAACTCCATCACTAAAAGCAGCATGGTTCTACACTGCAAACTAACAAGCATTCCATTCCTCAGTCCAAAGCCAACGGAAGCTAGCATTTTTCATTTCATCCTAGTCTCTAGTATAAAGTACATTAAATATAGATTCATCTTTTTACCTCCTAAATGATGGAAGGCGCCGGATGTTTTCACATTGATTAACCGAGAAAAATTTTACTCTTTTTTTGGCTTCTGGGAGATCACAGCACAGAACACTCAGGGGTTGCAAATAAAAATGTTCTAGTAGAGAAAGCTGAAAGAAATAATATTTTTTTTATAGTTTTGTAGTAAACATTTTGCCCTTTACCTTCTTAATTTTAACTCTTTTAAAAGCAAACGTATATATGGTTGGAGAGCATTTGTTGCTCTTGGAGATAAGAGGTTGGGTTCCCAGTAACTAGGAGCCAGTGACCATTTGTAACTTCAGCTCCTGAGAACTGGACACTTCCTTCTGGCCTTCAAGGCACTGTACATGTGAGACACTAACAGACTTATAGGACAAATACCAACGCACAAAAATAAAAATAACTATTAAAACAATTATGTTACAATAACATTGCAACAGTACTTATAAACCTTTCAAGACTACAATTCTGTGGACAAGGTCAGAAAAAGTAATCTCAGAAATACATACTAAAAGAAAACAAAGCAAATAGATGAATACATTAGTGCAAAACTAGTTAAAAGTATTGCAAAAATTATATGGATGGGACTATTCTATGATGTAAAGCTCTGATACTCAGAAGACATCACCCCAAATTATACTACCTGATCTCTCTGTTTGTGGCCTTTGCTAGCAGCTGACATTTTTCCAAACTGTAAAACCACATTTTTTGGTTATATGAAAATAAGTGATATGCTATATTTTGTTATTCAGTACAAATGTGTGTTAATATTTATTTGTATGCATTCTAAGTTTCTAAGGATAAAAAGATTAAGATTTTCATATTAGACTTTTCCAATAAAGGTTATAATATACACCTTATTGTGTATATCAGTTGTGAAATTGACAACTGGCATGTACCCACAATGACTATACTTTGACAACTTAGGTAGTTCCCAAGAAAAGCAATTAATATTAACTTTTAAAGAACTGAAAAATGGGTCCTTTTTTGGTTAAAACCAATGTTATGAAGTTAAGATCAAGAATCAGCTTACACAATTCATATGATTCTAATGAGCATGCATTCACAATGCATACAAATAAATATTAACACACATTTGTACTGAATAACAAAATATAGCATATCACTTATTTTCATATAACCAAAAAATGTGGTTTTACAGTTTGGAAAAATGTCAGCAGCAAAGGCCACAAACACACACAGAACAAAGCTGAAGACATCCATTCTCTGGCTCAGCAGAGAAGTCTGTTGGTCCTTAATAAGTGGCATTCCTTAGGTGAGTTCATCAAGTTCTAAGCAAAAATAAATCCTTCCCCTCCAGTCCAACCCTCAATGGTTAAGACTCTCTAATGGAAAGAGCTCTTTTCCATTACTGATAACACAATGTTATCTTCTACAGGTGACTGCACGGTAAGGAAGGAAAGGTGGGCCCTAGAATTTATTCTTTCTAGATCTTACTATGAAAATGTCTTCATCATTATACTAGTCGATCAGAAATAATGTACACGACGTACACGACGTACAGATGGCGAACTTTCACAATCACCAGTATTTCTTACCTTAAGTCCTTTGATGAAGTTTCGAATGGAGAAATCATGATATAAAAAGATGTTGGTCAGGACCTGTAATGCCTTTTTACTTATTTTAAAAGGAAACTGAGCTGTAAAAAGCAGCTGAAAGAAACAGAAGGGGGTTACCATGAACATGAAGGATAAATAGCAAGACACAACAGATATGAAAGCAATAGTAGCTATCTATTCTGTTTCTTTTTTAAGATCAAACATCAAACAAATTGTAAATTTTACTTACTTGAGAGTGAAAACACCAAAAAGCAATGTGCATTACAATCCCAGTGTATGTGGAAGGCGGTCTTACCAGGTAGCCCTGGCTGTCTTGAATTTACTATGTACACCAGGTTGACAAAAACAATAAAAATAAATAAATAAACCCCACAGAGCTCTGCCTGCTCTTTCTCCCAAGTGCCACCATTCCCATGTTCAAACTACATTCTAAACCAAAGATGTCTGCCAGCTTCCATTAAATCCCTGATCTTCAAGTAATGTACATATATTTATTTAGTTATATAGTTGATGCTTTACATTTGAAAATCAAACCTTATACTAGAATTTTTTAACAAAAGTATATTTGCACAAGGACAGTTACATTTGGTTACAATTAGTCAATTTTAAACTGAAGTAATTTTTTCTAATGTTCAATAAATCAGAATGCTATCTGTTGTGAACAGATGTGGAGAAGTGCTTAGTAGAGGACCACACAGGTTGTCATTTTACCCTACACAACCATCAGTTTTCACAGACACATCTTCCTGGAATCTAGGATGAATCTGTGGCAGTCAATAATAAAGAACCATACTGCTATTGACACAGAACTGTTATCGCAGTTAAAGTCTAAGTTTAGCAGCTGTTGTTAAGAACAATGTGACAGTTGTCAAATTCCACAGAACAACTTCAGGGCTGGAGTTCATGAGCACCCATCAATCAACACCCTCTTCTGACCTCAAAAGGCACTGCATCTTTGTGGTGCACTTACATCTACGCGGACAAAACTCTCACACAGATACAATAAAAGTAACTCTTAAAACACTTAAACCATTTTATCTAAAACATAAGGTCAAAACAGTCTGGTAATGGTCTGAAGTCCATAAATTCTGTAAAATTTTACTTATTGCTTTTACAACTCAAATCCAGGGCTTGCCTTCTACACTGCCAGACAAGTGGTTGTTAGTGGGCTGTATCTCTAAATTAATTTTAAAAGCCTAATCTTTTCAACTAAGTAATGAAAACAAGAATGAATATAGCTGGGTGGTGGTGGCACACGCCTTTAATCCCAGCACTCAGAGGCAGAGGCAAGCGGTTCTCTCTCTGTAAGTTAGAGGCCAGCCTGGTCTACAAGAGATAGTTCCAGAACAGGCTCCAAAGTTACAGAGAAACCTTGTCTTGAAAAACCAAAAAGAATGAATATATACATAAAATCACTTTCATAAAGCTTATTTTGAGAGGGAATTTTATACAAAGAGTGACTATTCAAAAATAAACATAATTTAAAAAAAGTATTAAAGGGCTGGAGAGATGGCTCAGCGGTTAAGAGCATTGCCTGCTCTTCCAAAGGTCCTGAGTTCGATTCCCAGCAACCACATGGTGGCTCACAACCATCTATAATGAGGTCTGGTGCCCTCTTCTGGCCTTCAGGCATACACACAGAAAGAATATTGTATACGTAATAAATAAATAAATATTTAAAAAAAAAAAAGTATTAAAAAATATACACTAAGTTGAACAAAATCTGAGAGACACATGATTTATTGGTGTCACTTCTTACAGACAATGGATGTCTGGTAGTGTGTGTTGGCACGGGTGGTAAGCATAATTCCTTTTTACCTGATCAAGAATTACTGTCAGGTGCTCCTTGGAAGGCAGAGACTGGAACAGCTCTATGCACAGCAGAGATGACACTGCATGAGGAAGCAGTCGGTGGATAATAACCGGAGAAGTGGCGATTCCAAAAATGAGAATTAGTGGAAACTCATGCAGATGCTGACTGGTTTTTAAAGAAAGATACAAAAGCTTCTTCAGCAAATGTCTTTCAATATATTACACTTCAAAATGATTATTTTAAGACATTCTTTGTTTTTGTTTTTTTGTTTTTTTTCAAGACAGGGTTTCTCTGTAGCTTTTGGAGCCTGTCCTGGAACTAGCTCTTGTAGACCAGGCTGGCCTCGAACTCACAGAGATCCGCCTGCCTCTGCCTCCCGAGTGCTGGGATTGCAGACGTGCGCCACCACCGCCCGGCCCTATTTTAAGACATTCTTAACAAGTTTTCTAAGTTATCCATTTGCTTTTTAAAGTAAAAAATAATAATAAAATGGCCACCTTCCAGATTGATTCCAATCAATCCATATGAATCCTTTTCTTTTATAAACAAGGACACAGAGATCCATGAGATAACCAAAGTTCTGTAACAATGCGTCAATATCACTTAATATACTCTTACTAACTTTGAGACTCACCTAGTCTTCCACACATCAGTCTCTCCTTCCTTTTCACACATACATAGCTTTACACGTATGTAAGGAATCTTTTTAATGGACATCATTCAAAAGAATCATATCCCTTCCTTCTATTTCTGTCCTAAATATCCTGAATGTGATCATATCAGCCAGCTAAGACAGAACAAACAGCAGCCATGCAGTGGAACTGCACTATTCATGAGGGGCTCTGCAGATCACACCTCTCTGCACTCCCCTCCTTCCTACTGCTTTCCAGTGTGGGCTGCTGCCCTTCTTTCTCCATGCACAGGAACTAAGCACAGCACTGTCCTGCGTCTGCTCTATGTTCTTTACCTTTGAGTCCACAGTACTATCAAATCCAAGTTAAGCACTGTTACATACCACATTGCACATCTGCAGAGAATGTTACAAAGTTTAAAAAATGTCTTAAGACATTAACCCAAGAAATACACTTCAACAGCAGAGAATTTGCTCAGGCATGCATGAAGTCTTGGGTTTTATCCCCAGCCCAGGGGGGAGGGGTGACTGAGGGGATAGACGACTATATCTACAACTCATTATTCAATGAAACAAAATCACACTCAAAGTAAGACTTTTTAGTATGTTAGCTGACATACAGAATATGCATGACAAAGTTAATTATATCTTTTTTTTTCTTTATTTATTTATTTATTTATTAAATATTTCAGTCTCTTCCCCACCTCCGCCTCCCCTTTCCCTCCCCCTCCCAAAAGTTAATTATATCTTAACAAATATACAACGGGAACAAATATCATGGGAGTTTAAAATAGGGTTAGTTACTTCAATTTTAAGTCTCACAAGATTGCCTTAAAACACTCATGACATTAAAAAAAATCTTACTGCAAATATACAGAAATAAGATACTTTCATAATGAAAACAGTTAAGGAGGTAATATTTGTAAGATGGATGATATTTTATACCTATTTACCAAGTTAACTAAGAACAGGTGAAATCTGTCTGGTCAACCTTATGCCAAAAAACAAAAAAATAATTTGCCACTAAGTCTTTGAACATTCATTTTTGAAAAAAAAAATCTATAATAGTTTTGAATTTCATTAAGCTGGTCTTAAAATACTGTATTTTTAAGTTAAAAGTATTGTTTTCTTACCAAAAAGGAAATTTTACACGAAAAGTCAAGTAACTGGATGTGAAGAGTTTAAAGGGATGGGAACAGGAAGAAGGGACAGAAAGCTAAAGAAAAGTGAAACCAGATACACAACAGGCCTTATGGAAATCTGCTACTTTGAATGCACAGGAAAATAAAACAGGGACCAGTGATACGGCCCAGTGAATAAAGGGACCTGGCGACCCGAGCATGAGCACAGGACACCCATTCGCAGCTGGCTGACCTCCACACATGCACAGCAGTAACAAATGAGAATACGAAGGCCAAGCAGTGCATCCTCTACCTGCTGATGATTATGAAGTCCTGGAGTACTTTCGTGCTGAAGCTCTCCATATTCTTCAGGATAAGCACAACAGGAGGACACTGCCATTGGCTACAGGTCGTCCTCTTTTTGCTTGGCAGTTTGGGGCCTGTCGTCTAATGGAAGAGTTAAATTGTCAAACAATACCATAATGACACTTGTTAATGTATTTCTTTCTATATTTCACAATAATTTTTTATTTTCCCAAATAAATAAACAAACAGTATCTCATTCTAACAGTTACCAGCAGAATCTGTTTGTAGACCTGGTAACACTAAGAAAAAGGTTCAGTATGACCCATAACACATCGGAGACAGAGTTCTGCTGAAAAACATAGGAAAAGAACCTTTACAATTGATTTCTTTTTCGGTGGATATATGGGTTTGCTCTAACCTGAGCTTTGCTATCACTGTAAAGGCACAATAAATGCAGTATTATAAACTTTAAACCTTGAGGACACTAAGTATTTGGTCAAACCAAATTTAAAGACACTGGACTTAAATTACCATGACTTTGATTTCTAAAAGTATCTAAGAATTTGGATCACATTAAGCTATTACCATAAGCATTCTTATATAAAACACAATGAGATTTCATGTATGACTTCAGCAAAACACTAGAAAACACCAGTACTTTTACTTAAACTATCTGGTAACTAACAATGAGGATGCTTACAGTAGAATGACATTATACTTTGTTGAACATACGTTATTTATTGCATTGTTTTGTTCAATAACCTTCTTTATACAGCAATGTTTCCCAAGAATTCTAAACATGGAACAAACTAAAATTTTAAAATTACAGAATTACTCGTCAAGTACTAAATTGACAGCAGGAATAGGTGATATGTGTCTACGAAACAAAAGCAAACACTGAAGAACTTAGGAGGTAATATAAGGAAGTTACAGCTATTATTGCAGAAATAGAATTTCCAACAGAACCAACTTTGGATGTTTTCTCTTTGCCATTTCATGGACTTCTCCAACAAATATAATGTCTTCTAAGAATCTAAGCACTTACTAGTAATTAATCTACATACTAGAAGAATACTTTCAAATTCTAGTAGCTTCAGAAAAAATAGCTACGACAAAACTGCTATGACTGCTCTACACATTTGTTTATCAGAAGGATGAGCTACAACTGAAATAACCTGGCGGGCCTCTGAACACCCAGTCTCCGGTACCTGTGTGGCAGTCGTGTACCAGCTGCAAAGCGAGTCCATTGAGTAGTTCGTCGTTTTGGAGGTCTTAACACTTCTCGTCTCTTTGGATTTTTCATCTACACAGCAGTCCATCAACTGTGAGGTCAACTTTTGCAAAAAATGTTTCACATCTGCAGAATATAAAAAGCAAGAAAACTTATCCATAGAAACCTTTGCTAAGCAGATTGCATTATTTGAGTGGAATATACTTTTCATCAATATAGCTATCATGTGCTAAATACATTATTATTACTTTTTAGTACCCTTCCCTTAATATTTAAATTTCATCCAGGGTTGGACAGATTCAGCTGGTACTATACTTGTCTAGCATGCACAAAATCCTGGAGCTGACTGCCAGTTCTAATAAATACAATGTTCTAATAAAAAAAATAGTTCTAAATAAAAACAATGTGGTCAAGCATGCCTGAAATTCCTGGACTTGGGAGAAATTCAAGGTCATCTTCTGCTACATAGTAAATTCAATGAAAGCCTGGGTTATATGAAACCCTTTCTAAGTAAGATGAATAAATATATCTCATTAGTTCAGACTAAGATCAGATCAAAATTTATATGTATTATCCACAAGTGTCATCTAAGCAAATGTACAGGCAGGAAATTATACGTTATTTTTTAGAATATCATGTATTTATCCTTAAAAATCAAGAATTATTTTATTGATTATAAATCTTGATTTACATGCATTTAAAAAAGACATCCTTAAAAGACTGTAATTCTAATTTAGTACATTAAAGCTGTTATCAGTCCAGATACAAACAAATCTGAGGATGATAGTGTGTGTGTTCTTCATGATTTAATGGCTTTACAAACTCAAGTCTGGCTCTGCCTATAACTGTATGTTTAACCACTGATGGCCTTTGCAAGTGGAAAAACAAGCTGACTTATGGCAATGAGTGAGACATGCACAGAGTGGAGGCCAGGCAGAGTAGGTAAGCACTAAAACAGCCATTTATATTTTACCTGGACAATCCTTAGCTTGCAGTGAGACTACATATGGTGTGACATTATTCCGAAGAGTCTCTGTTAGACTTCTGAATATTAAATCATGATCTGTGACATTCACACCTATGGGAAAATAAACAATATCATGTCATCATCTTTTTAATAATTTAACAAAGGGTATTTTTAAAAATTAAGTAAAGCACCAAATAAAAACAATTTAAAAATGCAATTTTCAATAGAAATCCAGAAATTTACAACATGATTGACTCTACTCACAAAACATGAGCGAAAGGAAATGTGGTACAGCTTACTCCAGAACAGCCTAAGGTAGTTCTCAACATAGTTCTTACTGAGAGATGGGAAACCTACTGGAGTAAGTTTGGCTGCTGTCTACCCCTGCCTCTCGAGGTAAAGCATTGTGTTAACGGCCCACCATTCCATAATACACATCTCAGAGCATGCCCCAGTGCCAGGAGCCATCTTACTTGTAGGCCCGTATTTCTACAGGGTATGGTGATCAGAATCTCAGGCCCCAGTTTCACCTGCTGCACAGGAGGTAGTCACCCAGCACCTACAGACAGGCTGAAGCCAGGGTCAGGATATGCTAATGTAGTTCCACTCCTTCTTTGTAATTTAGAGGATGCCTGGGATAGAGATGCTAACTCAGCCTACTCGACAGAGAGGGCACAGAAAGATGTGAACTTGACTAGTCATTCACCTAGTTACCTAGGTTACATGCTAATGAATTTACCTTCAGTTTACGTTTGGGCATAAAGGCTGTTTGGAAAATAAACGCAAGGAATTCTCAGGATGTGAACTCAGGATTTCATGAGGGATCACTGAAAATCTCCCTCCTGATAAAGCTATGTGAGTTGTGTCTTTAATACCAGGCCTCCCCTCTGGTCCGGAAATATAATTTATGGTCTGGACTGGCACCAGACCCCGACACTTACTATACACAAAACCCTTGAAACCATGAGCCAAACATTTTCTTTCTTTAAGGTGATTATCTATCTTTTTGTCAGTATTGAAATGTTAATACAACTAATTTGTCCAGAAAGGCCTGTAGTTCAATTCTTCCTTTGAAAAGATTAAGCATATATAACTGACATTGGACAATAGCTCAGGAGCAATATCATTGCTTTATCAAATTCACACAGAAATCATTAGTCATTTAAGTACAAGGAACTAAGCAATCTAACCCTGTTGTGACTTTACTTAAAAACTGAGGATAAAAAGATGCTACTATTATTTAAATTGCAGTAGTTAATTGAAAAGTGTAGACTAATTTCTGAGACAACTGAAACAAAATTAAAACTTTGGGTCTTTGGTATTTATCAAAGTATCTTTTCATTTAGAAAAACATCAGTTTTTTTTTTTTTAAATATTTATTTATTTATTTATTATGTATACAATATTCTGTCTGTGTGTATGTCTGCAGGCCAGAAGAGGGCACCAGACCTCATTACAGATGGTTGCCGGGAATTGAACTCAGGACCTTTGGAAGAGCAGGCAATGCTCTTAACCATTGAGCTATCTCTCCAGCCCCCCCAAAAAATCAGTTTTTGGTGCTCTCTACATAGTATATCAGAAATGGCAGGAAATGTCTCCACTAGTTTGGAATTCATTCTATTAACTGGTACCTTCCCTAATTTAACAATTTGTGACTTACAATCCAGGAGGGTCTGGTCTACAGACTGAGTTCTAGGATAGTCTGAGAGACAGAAAAACCCTGTCAGAGAGAGAGAGAGAGAGAGAGAGAGAGAGAGAGAGAGAGAGAGAGAGAGAGAGAGAGAGGAAAGAAAGAGAGAGGAAAGAAAGAGAGAGAGAGGAAAGAGAGAGAGAGGGAGGGAGGGAAGGAGGACGAACAAACGAACAATTCTTTGACATTTTGGCAGACAGCAGCACAAATATTCAACCTGCTTTAAATTTGCCAGACAAGTCATAGGATATAGAAAACAATTTCAGAATCATTCATGCCAGCAATAAAACCTCTTTAAAAATTCCAGAAAACAAATATACTAGCAGACAAATTTACATTTTGCCTTTCTCTCTCTTTCTTTCACCTATCTGCTTTTAGCAGGTACAGTTGTTTGAATGTGAGTGGCCCCTACATATATCCAAAAGCTTGTCCCAGCTGGTGAAACTGTTTTGGGAAAGATTAGATGTGGCCTTGTTGGAGGTGTGTGCCAGACCCAGTCTCCCTCACTCTGCTCTCAGCTACTGCTACAGCACCATGTCTGCCTGCCCTTCATCATGATAGTCATGGACTCACCCTCTGAAACCTTAGATGGTGACAAGGTCTTAAAGTGCTTCAGGTGAACCTGAGCGAGAAGTGGCTTTGGTTGGAAAGAAATTATAGAAGGCACATGTGGATCCGAATCTTAATTGCATTCTGGTCATAGTACCCTCCAAACATTCCCCTACAGGAATTTTGGTGGAGAGGGAAGATACTATCTTTATCCATAGAAACTAAGTAAAAAATAAAAATCTTATGTGGAAAAGGTCTCTGAGTTAATTCCAAAAGGAAAATTGAGACTTTGTCAATCATCAGGAATAGACCCACCAGAAATTATAGTACTTTCTAACAATAAGGAAATTGATAAACTATGGGAAGAAAGTGAACTCTGGCAAAGAGCATGTATTAATTTTTTGGGGGGAGAGATTAACAACTATCCCAAAAGCAAGAGAATCCAATTTTCCAGCTTATAAAGACGACAGACGACTAACTGATTTCCTCCTCCTTCTCAAAAAAAAAGAGGACTAACTGGATCCTTCCTCATATTGTACAGGACACACCAATAACTGGAGCCGCTACATTCTACACTGATGCAAGTAAGTCATGAAAGGCAGGTTAAAAAAATCAGAAAATTTAAGTAAAGTGGATCAAGGCCTTCATGATTTTGTCTAAAAGTCAAAACTATATTCTATTCTCATGGTACTAAGGGATTTTAAAGGACCTCTCAACATAGTTACTGATTCACAATATGCAGAAAGTTGTTTTACATATGAAAACTGAAGGATTTATAACAGATGACACAGAAATGACTTTATTAATTATTCAGTTACCAGATATAATCAGGAATAAGAATCATCCCATATATATGTACATATATATGGTACATATATACATATATATGGTAAAGGTCTCAGAATTTCATAAAAAACATCATGGCAATAGCTAAGGTTTAAAAAAAGACCTTTTCATCATGTGGCAACAAGCCAAGGAAATCATAAAGAAAGGTCCTATTTGTTCTTTATACAACCAAACACCACTATCTGCAGGAAGTAACCCCAAAGGGAACTCAAAGGAATGAAAGTTGGCAGATGGATGTGTTACATTTTGTAGAACTGGAAAACTAAAGTATGTATACCACACCATTGATACCTATTCAGGTTTTCAATGGGCAACTGCTCTGAGCTTGGAAAAGGCTGATTCTGGTAATCACACATTTATTAGAAGTTATGGCCATTACAGTTATACCTGCACAAATAAAGACAGCCAATACTCCAGCATATATCTCTAAGAAAATGAAAGTTTGTTGCTTATTATAATATAAAGCATATTACAGGTACACCACACAATCCTATAGGGCAGGCAGTAATAGGAAGATCAAATAAAAACCTAAAGGCTATATTAAATAAACAGAAAGGGATGATAAATACCCCCAGAAATAGATTGCATAAGGCTTTATTAATTTTGAATTTTCTAAATGCTAATGATAAAGAAACAAAAGCTGCAGAAAGACATCGGATAGTAGAAAAAAACTATAGAAATAAGTCAGCCAATATATTTTAAAGGTGTACTGATCTCAGAATTGAAATCAGGACATGTATTACTTTGGGGAAGGGTACTATGACCAGAATGCAATTTTCCTCAGGAGAAGAAAAGCTATGGACACCATCAAAATTGATAAAATTTTATTTGAACAAGAGACACCTCTTGATTACAGGAGATGATAGTTCATTAAGCACCAATTAAAAAAATAGGCACAGGCATGCAAGAATAAACAGATGCATACATACCAAGAATAAGAGCAGCAGTTGGAATTTCTCTGAGTTTCATTTGACAGCCCCAGTTTCTTGAATTCTTCTGGAAATCAGAATGGGACTTTTGCAGAAATTCAATTAGGTTATCAAACAGATTTTTATTTAATTCCTCCTGTAATTGCTGCAATGAAAGCAAAATTTCATGAATTATTAATTAATAGTAGTAATCTGGCATTTCTCTCCCTAACCTATTTAGGGTCCTATTGCTGTGAACAGGCAACTCTTATAACTGAAATCATTTAATTGGGCTGGCTTACATTTTCAGAGGTTTACTCTATTATCATCATGGTGATAAATGGCGGTGTGCAGGCAGACATGGTGCTGGAGAAGTAGCTGAGGGTCCTACATCTTTCTTACAGGCAACAGGAATTGGTCAGAGATACTGGGCATAGCTTGGGAATACATGAGACCTCAAAGCCTGCTTCCACAGCGACACACTTCCTCCAACAAGGTCACACCTACTCCAATAAAGCCACACACCTCACAACAGTGCCACTCTTTTTGGGGGGCCATTTTCCTTCAAACCATCACATCGGGTGCAAGGAAATTTCGATTTTTTTCTTCCCTTTGAATGTTCAGTAATTTCAGTTGGGGGGCAATAAATTAACAGGGTAAAAGAGCCCCACAAATATATCAACACACAATGTACTGAAAGGCAATAAAAGAAGGAGAAAACTCCACACAAATATCTTCAGACACAGTGTATTGAGAGTTAACGGAAGGGGGAAACACACAAATATATAAACACACAATGAGGAGTACACAATGAATAGGGAGGGAAGAACAGAAGGGCAAGATGGATGAACCTTAAACTGAATTCTGTTTGTTTTGTTTTTTGAAATAGGATTTCTTTGTGTAATAGCTCTGGCTGTCCTGGAACTTGCTTTTTAAACCAGGCTGGCCTGAAACTCACAAACATCTGCCTGCTTCTGCCTCCCAAGTACTGGGATTAAACACATGTGCCATCACTGCCCACTGAATTCTGATATACACAACATTTTCAGCGGTGCTGCTAGGGTTGAGGGGGACAGGATGAAGTGGGAGAAACTGGAACCATCTACTGTAGGCTGAAGAGGTAAGTTATTTGAATCAAAGCACTATCTGGTGAAACAGAGGGTGACAGGAAGCAAAGTGAGGTGGAAGGAGAAGTTGTAGAAATAAAGAAAGCACGAAACATTGGATAACCACTACACAGTATGAAAGAATCCAACACGAGAGGAACAGAGGCTGCACAAACAGGTAAAAGTCTCAGTCGTGAAACAAACACCATGATTTCAAAGGATTTGGACTTTATACTATAAGGAGGACACCCAAACAGTTATAAGAAGTGAAAGGCTAATTTGGCACCACTGTGAAGGTCAGAGGGTAAAGGAGGCAGAACTGGTAAGGGGGGCTATACAAAACACATCCCAAAGTCTGGGATACAGCTGCATTTGCCTCAAACAGGGGAATGAGCTGGTGGCAGATTAGAAGGATATGATGTCAGAACACACGCTATAGGGATATTAAGAAATGAAGACAGACAGGAGCTTGTGAGATAGTTGAGCAGTTAAAAGAGCAGAGTGCTCAGGCTGAGGACTGCAGCTCAGTTCCCAGTGGAAGACCTGATGTTAACTCTAACGCCAGTGAATCCAGTGCCCTTCTTCTGGCCTCTGAGGCACCTGCACTCATGTGCACCCACCCACCCATACACAAGATAACAACAAGTAAAATAAATCTTAGGAAAAGAAAACTAGGCCGGGCGGTGGTGGCGCACGCCTTTAATCGCAGCACTCGGGAGGCAGAGGCAGGCGGATCTCTGTGAGTTCGAGGCCAGCCTGGTCTACAAAGGGAGTTCCAGGACAGGCTCCAAAGCTACAGAGAAACCGTGTCTCAAAAAACCAATAAAAGAAAAGAAAACTAGAAGATAACCTAACCTGGAGACCATAAACTCAAGTATCTTCAAGGACTACATGGAAAACATCAAAGAGCAAAGTGAAGTATAAAGTGATAAAGATAGATGGGAAACAGTAAGAGACTAGAAAGTGTCAGCTGGAAAGATGGTCAGTGGGTAAGAGTGCAGACTGTACAAGTTTAAGGTCCTCAGAATTCCCAGCGCCCACTCAAAAGCTCTGTGTAACTTTCACTCAAAACCAAAACACTAGTTACGCTTAACTAGTGCTAAAGTTAATGCTTAACATTAGCTGAGCAGAATAAGCTGTTGGCACTGGAGCTACTGACTTGCTGTACTGGAGATACTCACAGGCAGAACGTGCAGTGTTCTAGGTCAGCCTGAGCTAGTGTTAAGACCACGTCTCAAGGGGAAACCAAAACAAACAGAACCATGAAAACTGAATGTCAGACCAAGTTTAGAATTTGCTTCCTTTCAGACTTGTGGGACGTCTTACCTGAATCTAAGAGTGAGTGTCACCACAGTAGAGCTCTGACTTAGCCACTACCATGTCCCAGTAACTCAGGCTAGGCCTAATATTTAGAACATGACAAATTATTTTCTTTGAGATATACAAGTTGTGTTTGGTTGTAACTTCTCATTTTCTATGCATAATCTAATAAATCTTAGAAATATGGGAAGTAACAAATACAAGATTTACAGTATTTTACTACAGAAATGTAAAAAGGAAATTATTCACCTCTGTTTCAGATTTCATCCGTTGCCATAGCAAGTGATACGTTTCAAATCGAAGTTTACTGTCCTCAGACCCAAGTTTCTCATTATTAAAATAATCCTCTTAAAAAAGAAAAACAGAAACTCAGTTTGTTTTTTAACACAATAAACTGTGTACAAAGACACACAGCATAGAGAGGGTATCAAAGCATTTTATACAAACCAAAAGAATCATGTATTTTTTCTATGCACTTGGAGAAAAATGGTGTACTTAATCTTTCGTATTTAATTTTGTCTCATTTTTATAATATTAAAAAGGACCATTAAAATTGCAAAGTCCTATTCCTTACAAATTTTTAAGCTTCTACTTAAGGATTTTCAGTTCAAGGTATATACGCACAACATTAATGTTTGCATCCACATTCTCATCTTCTTTACCTTATGATTACTTTCAACTCTTCTCTACTCAACAGTTTTTCAGATTGTTTTTGTTCCACTGATATAGTTTAGTCCAGTCTTTGGTTTAATATGTAGTTTTTTCTTTTTTGTTGAAAGGTATGTGCTTTTCTAAGAGAGACAGAAGAGGGTGCTGAATCCCTTTGACTGGAGCTAACAACAGATGGTTGTTAGATGCCATGTGGGTGCTGAGAGGATTTAACCAGCAAAAAATGCTTGGAACAGTCCAGCACATAAAAAATGCTTTATAATATTACCAAGTTTGTTATAATTACATGGCTGGTGGCTTCACATGTATGTCATATGCCTCAAATATACATGAATAAATAAATGAAAGAATAAATCCTTAATTTTCTTTAAACTATTTCTGGTAAGTTGAATCACCTCCAACATCAAGAAGGTTTGCTTAGGGCTGGAGAGATGGCTCAGAGGTTAGGAGCACCGCCTCCTCTTCCAACGGTCCTGAGTTCAATTCCCAGCAACCACATGGTGGCTCACAATCATCTGTAATGGAGTCTGGTGCCCTCTTCTAGCCTGCAGGTATGCACACAGACAGAATATTGTATACATAATAAATAAATTAATAAATTTTTTTTTAAAAAAAAGAAGGTTTGCTTATAACCACACTTAAAGTTTAAGAAGATTTAGGGAAACAAAAATCAACAAAGTGATAGGTTAAGATACTTTACCGATTGGCACAGAGATCTTTCTTTTCTTGAAGTCTGGTTTAAACACAAAACAGCCCTATTTAAGAAAAAACAAAAAGAAGAAAAGAAGAAATAAAGCACAAAGTCAAATTAGGCAAAGCCGACAAATCTAATTACCCGAACACTTTGTAAAAAAACAAGTTCTTTAAAAGGGGAGTTCTTCTTAGAAATACAGAAGGAAAGACGTCTTCAACAACTGTGCATGTCTTCCTCCTGAGTGCATCAGCTGCTCTCTAAATCCATCAGGACCCGCTCTAACAAGTAGGCAAACTTTTTTAGCTCAAGTTTCATAAAACTTAGGTGGGAAATAACATTAAATTATACATTAAAATAAAGATTACGTGCCAGGCAGTGATGGCACACACCTTTAATCCCAGCATTTGGGAGGCACAGACAGGCGGATCTCTGTATTCAAGGGCAGCCTGGTCTACAGAGAGAGACCTGGTCTACACAGCCAGGGCTACCCAGAGAAACTGTCCAAAAAGCCAAAAAGCCAAAAAAAAAAAAAAAAAAAAAAATAAAGATAAAGTTTAAAACACTGATACTCTCCCATTCCAAAATGATTTATTTAATTAACTCCAAGTATCTACAGCCAGGATGTAAGTAGATAATTTTGGCTCGTTTCACCCAGCATCGTTTTTCAATGAATAAACTCCTTTCCATTTACCCATTACTGTCTGGCTCCAAACTCATCGTTCACCTCTGTAATCCCGCACTTAGGAAACTGAGGCGAGAGAACTGCCATGACTGAGGCTAGCCTGGTTTATAAAGTGAACTCCAGGCCCCTGGGCCATACAATAAATGATTTTTCAACAAAGAGAAAAACTAGGGCATGGTTTACACACTTGTAATCTTAGTGCTTGTGGGGACAGAAGAACCAAGAGTTCAAATCATCTTCCCTTACACGAGCTTGTGGCCAGTCTAGCTATGCAACCAATGAAATCAAACCCTCATCTCTTGGGGAGAACCCTCCTGGATTCTCTCGCAAGAAATGCTTCTCCTGAGATCTCAGGATTCAAACATATTTGCTTTGTCTCCCTGATAAATTCTGAGCATATTTCCAGCACAGATAGGTTTTATTTATAACCACCTCCTCAGTGTTTATGGCAGTACTAATAAACACATTAGGCGATCGGTATGAATAAATAAATGGCTGTCTAATTCTCTTGGTAATTTTCTAGCCACATTAAGCTTCTTATTATTATATTTGACTATTGGTACTTGGCATCTAAGTTTCTAGTTGTGGTGTATTCTACAAAAATGAAAGCTGCATTTTATGGATAGCCTCCTAAGATTTCCATTTATATGGAAAACAAGCTAAAATAAATAAAATGACAAAAAAGTCATCTCAGACTAGTGTTAGACACCTGTGTAAAAAAAATATAAAGTGGCCATGTGGATTACATGTTTCAAATTAAGTTGTACCTTGTATTCTTATATTTGCAACTGGCAAAGCTATGTGAACTACTTCTACATATTTTGGAGAAGTGCCTTGCACCAACACAAGCTATTACTGCACCTTTCCCTACGGACCTGCACATCAGTAAGGGTAGCGCTGACACAGCAGCGCATGGAGACTTCTAGCATGGGTGTTAATCTCGTGAACATTAGCACAGGGACAGGAACACAAGCAATGAGTACTAACATAAACATGTCAACAGTAATATGGTTCACCATGTTAGACTAGAAGGCCATCAGCCGAAACATATGGGAAAAGAAGCTAGGTAGTTGTGGCGCACGCCTTTAATTCCAGCTCTCTGGAGGTAGAGGCAGGTGGATCTCTGAGTGTGAGGTCTACAGAGCGAGTTCCAGGACAGCCAGAACTTTTATATGAGAAACCTTGTCTTGAAAAACAATAAAACAAGACAGACCAAAAAATATTTATGTAAGAAAAATAACAACACCTGATATGTTTAAGGAGAAAAATAAATAAAAACTTTGGCATTTCCATGAGTTACTGAAAGGGTCCTGCAAAGTTCCTGTTTATATAAGGGCTACTTCATAATCATTCATCAACATAGCTACTTCTTTTTTTTTTTTTTTTTTTTTTTTGGTTTTTCGAGACAGGGTTTCTCTGTGGTTTTGGAGCCTGTCCTGGAACTAGCTCTTGTAGACCAGGCTGGTCTCAAACTCACAGAGATCTGCCTGCCTCTGCCTCCCGAGTGCTGGGATTAAAGGCGTGAGCCACCACCGCCTGGCTATTTCTTTTATTTAAGAATTTTTTTAAGATTTATTTATTTTAGGTATATGGAGATTTATCTGCATGTATGTGCATGTACACCTACTCGCCAGAAGAGGACATTATAGATGGTTGTCAGTTACCATGTGGGTGCTGGAAATTGGAAGAGCTGCCAAAGCTCTTGACCTCTGAGCCATCTCTCCAGCCTGCCAACAGATCTATTTCTGTTAGAAGGCAAAAAAAGAAAAGAAAAGAAAAAAGAAAGAAAAAAGGCTTTTCTGGAAAAAAATTCTCATTTTCTGTAAATTTTAGAATAAGAGGGCTAAGGCTGGGGACGCAGCTCAGCAATGGAGCACTTGCTCAGCACGCACAAACTACGGAGTTATATCCAGAACTAGGAAAGAAAAAGAAATGAAGTTTTATGCAACAACATGATTAGGAGATAGGGCACCTAAAATACCTGGAACTTTGTAGTCAAGGACAAATAAAAATAGGAATAACCATAATAAAAACACGAGCACAGTTAAAAATCTGTTTTTCTAGCAACATCTTTAAAAACCTTATATTAGGGATGGGGTATGGTGGTGCACATCTTTAATCCCAGCAGCTGAGGGATATAGACGGGACCATTTGTAAAGTGTCTCCATTTTGGTTGAACTGTGACAATTTCTGTAACTGTAATTTGGCTTCTTGAACTAAAGTAACTTGTTTCTTAGCCAGGTGGTGGTGGCACAGGCCTTTAATCCCAGCACTCAGGAGGCGGTGGCAGGTGGATCTCTATGAGTTTGAGGCCAGCCTGGACTACAGAGTGACTTCCAGGACAGCCAGGACTACACAGAGAAACCCTGTCTCAAAACAAAAAACAAAACAAAACAAAAAGGTAATTTGTTTCTATATTCTTTTCTTCCCTGTTCCACACCCTTAGAAGTGCCCAAGGAGGAAAGGTGTTTATTCATCCCCTAAAATTCATGAACTGAGCATAGACTGGTTACCTCGAGCATCCATGAACTGAGGGTCAACACAGAAAACATTTCGGTCTCCTCCAGAACCCTCACCCTGGGAAAACTTTGAAGGGACTCCCTCTGCCATGTGGGCCAGAACGCTCCTTGCACCCTCTGTCATGCTGTCTGTCTGCCTGTCTGTGGTGTTAATATCACATCTAATAAATCCCTTTTAAGAAGGCCAATCCAGCGCAGTATCACCCCTGAACTCCAAACACAAACCCTTTCAGAACTTTGCACTTTCAGCTTTATCAGACAGTTTCACTCAGGAGTATCCCTGTACTTAAAACAGAAGACTTTCTTTACAGGGCACAGTGGCACAGTCTAGTAGGACTTGCTTTAACATACATGTGCTATTGAAACATGGTAGGGGCTAATGGCAAACTTAAAGTTATCTAACTCAATAAGCAACAGGCTGGCAGGGAGCCTCCTCTTATAAACTATATTTTGATTCGCACTCCCTGCCATCTAGGCAGTCCATGACACCCCAACACGGACACTCTTTTGAATTACATTTTGGGAGGGGAGGGTGTTTGAGACGGGGTTTCTCTGTATAGCTCTGGAGCCTGTCCTGTAGCCCTAGAACCCAGAAAGATCCGCTAGGATTAAAGGCGTGCGCCACCACTGCCAGGCCCCTGACTTACATTTTTGTACTTTCTCTTTTTTTCCCCCTAATGTCCCTTTCTCCACTCTCGGGTTATCCTGATTTTTCTATGTGCTATTTTATCTCTATATCCTAAGGCAAAGGGCACGTCATTCTGCTCTCCCACCCTAGGGCTTTACATTCCCGCCAAGATTCTTATTTTTCAGATCTTAGCCAAACTGTCACTTTCTCTAAATCTTCGCTGGTCTCCTGGCAATCCTGGTTCATCGCTCTTCTCTCAGAACCTTTCCCCTTATTAATACGAACATCTGCTGCTTATTAATATTCCTGATTACAGAAAGGTGTTCTGTTTACGTCTTTATTTCGATAATTAAACGCACAGGAAGTACTTTTGAGGAAAAAAAGCGGGAAGCGAAGGGGGGAACGCGACATATTCTTGGGGCAGCCGGTCGGCTAGCCTAGGTGCCACAGCCTAGTTGGCCGAAGCAAAGGTGGCCTCGAACCCGGACCTGAGTTCTGCTCTTCCCAGAGCCGGAGCCAACGCCCGTCAAACCTCCGCCTCGCCGTGCTTGCCAAAGAGGCACCGCGGAGGCACCGGCAAGCGCCACCCCCACGTACCTTGGACACCGAGGAAGTGGCCATAATCCACGGCTCCGTGTGCCTGCGCACTGAACACTTCCGCGCGCCCCTGCGGAAGCACAAGCGACTTCCGGCGCGGAGGCGGGGCGTGCGGAGGCGGGCTTCGGGTCGGCATGGCGTGCGCCTTTCGTAGGTCGATCGCCTGTCAGGTACAGTCGCGAGTGGCGAGCCCACGGGTGCCGGGGCCGCGGGGTGCAGCCTAGGCCGGCTCTGCCTTCTCCCCGAGCAGCGGAGGGGGACGACCCGCGAAAGCACTGGGCGCTTCCCTGTCTTGGCAATCCCGCTCGTCATGCTTTAACCCGGGAGGAGTGGCTGTGGGTCGTGATTAGACCCTGTAGAAATTACTAGTCCTCCTTCGTTTGTAGTCATTATTTGCTTTCATCCAGTAACCCTGTATTATATCTAGTTTCTAAATAAAATATTTTAGAGCGTTGAATAAAGTAGACAAAATAAGGGCCAGGCGTATAAGTGCACTCCTTTAATCCCAGCACCCCGGAGGCAGAGGCAGGAGGGTCTCTGTGAAGTTCGAGGCCAGCCTGGACTGCAAGAGCTAGTTCCAGGACAGCTAGGGCTGTTACACTGAGTAACCCTGCCTTGAAAAACAAAACAAACAAACAAAAAATTCATGCGAAGGGGCTGCGGTGATGGCTGCTTGGGTAAAAGTGCCAGAGTTCGAATTCCCAGAGCCTGTGTAGAAAAACCTGCGTGGCTAAGGGACTTGTACCCCTCATTTGTTCCCAGCAGCCGGTCCTTGAGGTCTGCACAAACTTAGGCTCAGTGTGACTGAGTTGTTTTGGGCAGTTCTGGAGATGTAGCATATGCTTCTTAGACATTAAGCACCGTTTATATCAATGACTTTAATGTCCAATCTGTGTGTCTGTCTGCATTTGTGTGTGTGTTCCTTCATGTGGAGAGGGCAGAGGACGGGTGTGTTTGTATATCTTAGTCACCGAGCACCGTTTTCTGAGACAGGGTTTCTAACTGAACCTGGGGTTTACCCATTCAGCTAGGCTAGGCTGCCTACCCAGGGAGCTCCAGGTGTAATGGTGATTCTGGCCTGAGCTGAATTCATTGTCTGGGACAGGCAAAGAAAGATTTGACTGTCTGGGGAAGACAACAGAAAATATAAGAAAAACGGGAGACAGAGAGAATGAAACAATGCTTTTTTACTGAGGCCGGCTTCTGCCTCGGAAAGGGGAGTGAAGAGAAAGCTAGGGTTGGGGAGTCTGGCTCCATTTATGGGACTGGTGGGGGTGGGGCAGGTTTTATCAGGGTTTCTCCAATGGCTGTGTCCCTCTGGCCCACCAGGGAGATGACCACAGGCTGTTACACACTACTTGCTCAGTTAGGGAAGTGGTCATACTTTGAAGGCCCCTTTCTCCGTCTTTGACTTGCCTTTCCAGCTGTTGTCCGTGACTCTCTGCTGTCCTTTATCCCGGGAAGGCACTGCTAATCGGTGCGCCTTGCAGGTGTTGCTGCTCATAGGAGGGGCTTGGCAGGAACTGTAAGCCCTGAGTTAGCCTCCGCTTTCTTTGTTCTCATCTTTATGTGGCCAGTGTTTAGTTTCACCATGGCAGAAATTAACACCTATCCTAACTACTGTCGTAGCTAATCTACGGCTCTCAACTCTAAAGGGATAAGAGATGGTTAATTCTGGAGCCAAGTTTTAGTAACCGTGGCCTAGGAACAGAACATGGATTTATGGTACACCAATTTCCATAGTTCCAGTATGGAAGCAGTTTAATGGAGTATTTATAATAACAAAAAAGAATGTTATAAATCAAAGCATTTAAGAAATATATTGGTGGAACCATTGGTGAGGTAGGTTACAAGATGGGGTTCACGCTTCTGGAGACCTTGGATGCTGTCTGACAGCACTCTTAGCCCTTCGCTGGGTGGGAGCTAGGGTTCTGTTAATGCACCCTAGAAGGTTTTTGTGTTTGTCAGGAAGTTAGGCCTAGGTAGTGGTCTCCAGATATTAGGTCCAGAGGTGGGCGTGGCCAAGAGGAATTGCGATTAGGCTTCGGAAGTGTAACATTCCAAACTCTGCACAACCAGTGGAGATTTCATCACTTAGCTACTGCCCACACAGCTTCTTTTTGGGAATTCTCCTTGACATTGCCAAGGTGGAGCTGCAGTTTTTCTTGGTTACCTGTACCAGAACTCCTTGTCTGTGGGGCAGTCCGGAGTGGTCTCCTTCCAAAAATAGGTACAATTTAGTTCCTATGCATGGGCAACAGTGTCTTACATATATTCCTCAAGAAAGGCAACTGGCTTGCTGATACTAGCACATAGCCCTGTCCTCCTTTTTTATGCAAAAAAAAAAACCCATGCCGTGTATTTTTATCATATTTCCCCTCCCCCATCCTCCTTATTTGATCTACTTGGTTATTTTATATGCAGCTTTAGGCCCTTTTCTTCCTCATCCCTAATGCCTCATCTCTCCGCAGCGCCAGCCCTGGAAGTTACAGGTCTGTGTTACCAGGCTCAGTTCTTACAAGAGTTAAGTTGGGGTTCCAAGCTCAGCTCCCTGTGCGGTCATGACAACCGCTTTGCCAGTTGAGCCAGCCCCGTTGGTACAATCTTCTGTAAACTCTTCTCCTTCCTTGTTCTTCTCGGTGCAACATCCAGTTCCCAGAAGTCATCTCTCAAACAGATTGCTTACACCGAAGTTAGGAGGCGTGTCTCCACTGCTGCATGGTTGTGGTTTTCTGTCATGATCTCTGCTTGACAAAGTTCTTCCTCTCATACGCCACACACCCTAGGAATAACCAAGTCCCATGTGCCTGTCACAGAATTATTCTGAACATGGAAATGCCTATACCACCAAACAGCATAACCATGAGAGACGTTTCTTACAAACAAAGATGCAACTGTTTCTACTTATTATTTGTGCACTAAGGAGCAATCCTGGGCTTCGTGCATACCAACAGGGCAAGTAGCTGGTGCTTCACCGCTGAGTTAGCCCATGGCCTTTGCTTTGATTTTTATTTTTTGTTTTGTTTCTTTACACCTGCTATTCTGATGGGTAAATCTTTTATGGGGTTCAGGCATGGGGATCAGATTTTTCTCTAATATTTACTTGTTTCTACTAAATGCCATAATTTTTTTTTCTGTTTTGTTCATTGTTATAGTATCAGTGCCTAGAATACTGTCTGGTACACATTAGCTACTCAATAAATATTATTTTAATGGAAAATAGTTTTGGATTCTCAGTGATTCATATCTTTTTTTGTATATTTCTTTAGATTTTTTTAAACTGGCAAACATAAAATTCATTGAAAGACAAGTAGTCCTGCTTGCTATTTAATAGTCAGATCCTTATGTTTTACTCAACCCCTGACACTCCGAAATCTTAACCTCAGTCTGACAGTTTTGTGTTTTCGAGGCTATCAGATAAATTGAATCATTCTGTATACCTCTTTAATATAGGCTTCACATCATGTATTCGAGGTTCATTTATGTTCCGTGTGTTAATGACATTTCTTTTATTGCTAGTAGTAGCCCATTCACTCTGGAATAGATATAGCAACAATTTTATCCTGTTTTGTTCTTTTTTACTTTTAGCTTTCCAGAGTCTTGGCCCTTCCACCAGAAAGCTTGATCAAGTCAATATCTGCAGTTCCAGTTTCAAAAAAAGAGTTAAGTATACTTGCGGTGATCTGAAATTTTACTTATCTCTTCAATTTGCAGAATAAACCTTAAAGTTATGATTCATTATATTCAACTTGTTATAATTGATATTATAAAATTATAGTTCTATTTAGGTATCTATGGTGAATGTGATTATTCCTTTGTTAATTATTCTCATGTTTGGTTTTGCTAACAATTATGTCAGTCTTTAGGAAGGAGATTCTAATTTGTTTAACAATAAGAGAATGACAATATGGTTATATAATCTCAGAGCTTTTGAAGGACTATTGAAACTTGTATAATCATCTGATGCTTGAATACTATTGTACCATGTTTATCTCCCAGTTCGGTTTTTGTTTGAGGTTTTATTTGAAGACTTCCAAGCAATAGAGAACTGTTGTTTAGGGCTATGTAAAATCTATGTTGTTTCCTTATTAGTGTGGTCATCCTACTGTTAACTTACCGTTTTGCTAAAATCTTCAGTGCTTGGATAGAATGTAGTCTACCCATGAGTGTATAGCCTTGGGCTGCAGGGACAAACATGTTCAAAGCAAAGAAATTGCATCTGCACTAACATGAACAAGTTTATTTTTCATATTATCTCAAACAATACACTAATAACAACTACTTCTATAGCATTTACCTTGTAACAAGGATTAGAGGAATATAACGATAATTTACAGTATACAGAGGGTATGTGGAAGATACGTGGAAATCGCACAAACTGTGTGCAAGAGGCCTTGAGCTTCCGCAGATCGTGGATCTCTACAACGTCTTGCAGTCAGTCACCAAAGGAGGGCTGTGCTCTCTCAGTTAGTTCAAGATGCCTGCCACACAGTACATTCCTAGCTCTAAGGGTTTAAAGATGGAGTAGGAAATTCTCAGTGTCACTTTACCCTTTGTTGCCTGAATTTTATTAGAACTTTCACGTGAGGGGGCGAATGTTCTCTTCATGAGGAGGAAGAGAAGGCAAAAACTAAAGAGTGCCTATACAGTTACTATTTTTAGCTTTGAAAAAAATGAAAGTAGGGCTGGATGGAGCAATGCATGCCTTTATTCCCAGCAAACAAGTCAGAGGCAGTTGAATCTCTGTGAGTTCAAGGCCTGACCTACCTAGTGAATTCTAGGACAACCAGAGCTGTTACACAGAGAAACCCTGTCTTGAAGGAAGGAAGGAAGGAAGGAAGGAAGGAAGGAAGGAAGGAAGGAAGGAAGGAAGGAAGGAAGGAAGGAAGGAAGGAAGGAAGGAGAAAGAAAAAAAAGAAGGAGGAGGGAGAAGAAGAAAGACGCCTGTTTGCTAATCATCCCCATCATCGTTCTTTTCTGTGTTCTTAGCAGTAAGTTAATTTTAAGCATTATAATAGACACAGTCTCACAGCACAGGGCTTCCCTGACCCTCTGGTTCTTACAGTCTTTTCGCCCCATCTTCTGCAGTGTTCCCTGAGCCTTAGGTTCGGTAGTATTTTGTAGACATACTGGGCTTGCTGGCATGGACCGCATGGCAACCATCGCTGCTAGACAAAGTTCCAGCAATTCAGCATTGCAGACCACACTTCTCCAACACCTTTTTACTTTAGTGTTTAGTGATTCTCACTATTAATGCCTTTCCCGTTGGAAATTTTGTGCGGGCTTTGGTAAAGGATGAAAATGTGTACAATGGTAGCCTCTCCAAACAAAAATAATTCTGGCTGCTGCAGAACCAACAATTCCATTGTGCCCTCCTAATTAGTTAGAGATTTACTAGACACACCTGATCCCAAGGTGAAACACCTGAGGCTGTTAAGGGCTAGAGTTCAGTTAGTGAGTGTGGAGAAATCGGAATGGTGCAATATAATGGAAAAGAGGACGAGGTCAGGCCTTAGGGGAGCAGTGAGTAAGACTGAAACACAAAGGAACACAGTTCGGGGACAACTCAGTGCTTACCCTCTTTCAGGAATGAAAATTGCTCTCAAATTGTAGGACAGCAGCTGGTCCGCACAAGTCCTTCCCCAAGGACAGGCATTTGAATAAGGCCTCCACCCTCACAGGGCTTGAGCAAGTTCCTGCTTGCTAAAGCAGTCGTTCTCCTTATCTCTGGAAGAGGAACTCCAGCCCCTTTAATTAGCTGTGGCTGGTGCCTATTACCAAGGTCAGGGCTAGAGTCCTCAACCCCTGATCTCCAGCCACACCCCACCTCACAAGTCCCTTCTGTCCCATTTAAATCTCTGTGCAGCCGAGTATGCAGTCTTTTTTTTTTTATCCCATTAAATGCACTGGCAGCCATCCTGATTGACCCTGATTGTGTTGTCCCCCACCCACCCCCACATCTCATTGGGACCTTAACCCATGCTGAAACAGGTCTCCAGCAGGCTGCATATATTTTGATAATATTCTTTCTCCTACCCAGCTCCTCCCAAGTCCTTCCCATTTCCCTATGTTATGCCCAAGTTTCAGGTCCTCACACCTACTAGCCCAATTTCATATTATTTCCCATCTGTCTTTAAAAAAAATAAATACAAAAAGCAAACCAAAAATCAAACAAAAAAGTCTAATAAGACTTAAGTACCAAAAGGAAATTAAAAGCTTACAAAAAATCAGAGTCCGTTTTGCGTTGGCAAACTACTCCTGGCCTCCTCCGTAGTGTGGTTGACGTGTCTAGGGACATCCCATTGGGAAATTACCCAGCAGGTGAGATTACTTGGTGTGAGTGAGCAGGCATTTCAAGCTGCATGATGAGTGACAAGAAAGAAGTCACCTGTATCCTTCCAGAATATATTCCTTTAAGTGAGTGGCGTGGGCTGGACAAACCATGATAGAACTCACTTAACTCTCTTCCGTTTCTCTGTTGAACATCAGAAGATGTCAGAACCTGCAGTTCTGCAGTTATTTGTATATTAATAATGTCTAACTTAAATTATCACATCTACAAAAAATTCTATAGAGACAATATGATGAGCCACTTTTTTGTTTGTTTGTTGAGGGGGGTTGTTTTGTTTTGGGTTGGTTTTTAATTTTCGAGACAGGGTTTCTCTGTGTAACAGCCCTAGCTGTCCTGGAACTAGTTTTTGCAGACCAGACTGTTCTCAGACTCACAGAGATCCGCCTGCCCCTGCCTCACGAGCGCTGGGATTGAAGGCGTTCGCAGCCACCTGTCCAGATGAGCCACTTTCAGTGTGGTAACCATCTAAACTGTCAAGCCTTTGTTCCAAATTCAAGTCCTCTCTGTGTCTCTCTCTCTCTCTCTCTCTCTCTCTCTCTCTCTCTCTCTCTCTCTCTCTCTCTCGGCTTATACCGTAGGGGTAGTTGATTTTGTTTTGTTTTTTTGTTTTTCTCAATGGACTGCAAATACTGTTGTGTCTGGATATATTTCTTTGATTCTGTTACCCTCCTTACTTGCAAATAGCTTCTCTAGTCATGTAACTGACTGTTCCTTTAGCTGGTGCCACTGAAGCTTTTAATAGTTTAGTGAAAAGTACCAATAGCTGTGTCTATGGCTTAGTGAACAACTCAGTGTTATAAATAACATTTTAGTCATGCTGAAACTGTTGGGTCTGGGGAGGGGGTCGCACAAAGATGGGGGACAGACCACGAGAGTCTGTTAAGCCAGAAGCAAATTTAAAAAAAAAAAATTGGTCAGGCGGTGGTGACGCACGCCTTTAATCCCCAGCAGTAGGGAGGCAGAGGCAGGAGGATCTCTGTGAGTTCGAGGCCAGCCTGGGCTATAAGAGCGAAATCCTGTCTCAAAACAAAACAAAACAAAAATCTCCACAGGGCACAAAAAGCTAGCGTAGACCACAGCCAGAGATGGACTTGTAAGGTTGTGGCAAAGGAAGGTTTCTGAACTCCCCCTTTTATAGCAAGCATTAGACAATAACAAAAGAATTTTTATAACCTTAAGGTAAAACTCAGATACAAACTGCCCTTCTTTGCAGTTTTCATTAACAGAGTTTCTAGTTAGGCTAGTGTTTGGGTTTTAGGTCTTTGTTTCTCCCTGGCACTCCCAATGATGTTTACCGAAGCTCTGTACTCCCTCAGCCAATTCCCATAGCAGGGACAATGCATAACCGAAAAGTCATGTACATCCCATCATTTAAAAGTTAACTCAGCTCAGATCAGTTGCTGGTCATGAGTGGCTGGGGGGTTATCTAAAAGCTGGCCCTCAGTTTGCAGACAGCTATCATTTGTAAAGTAACCACTGTTAATAGTTAATCCTTAAGCTGATGAGAAATATGCTGACAGCCTGATCTCATTCTCCCACTTCTTTATTTCTACATCTTTATTTCTGGAATCTATATTTCTATATTCTTATTCTTGAACTCTTCAAAACTTAAATTACAACCATTAAGAAAAAACATTTTTGCTCTTGTTATTTAGACAGTTATAAAGAAGCACTTAGTAGGAGACGCAGCTTTATAACGGATGTCAAGCAACTCAGTCTTTTCTGAAGCTGCTTCCTAGTTGCATTTAACTTGCCAGATATCTGTCTGTTTCAGGTAATATGCAAGAATTGTATAAAATAACCAAGATTTTAAAAGTTATAAGTAAAGACAAAGTTTTGTATTTCTTGACTTTCAGTTTTGAAGGTTTTCATAATCCAGTGATGACTCTTCTCTAGACAAGTGATGTTTTTCTAACAGCTCTTTCCCATTTCAATGTTCATCTTCAGAGAAGTGGCAGACTTCCAGCTTTCTGTGGATTCCTTGCTAGAAGACAACAGTCCGCAGTCACAGCTCGATGCTCAAGATCAAGCCAGGAGCCTGGCAGAGAAGGTATTTCACCTCTGTGTTGTACCGGACTGAGCACGGAGGAGAGCACAGCTCACAGGCTGCGGCCTCACGTTTCTCTGTTCAGGGCAGCTTGCAGGACCGTTCCGTTCATTTTAGCTGGGAGGTTTCCGTGATCTTTCACATCAGCTGTAAAGTATCATCCCTTTGGTTGTAGTTTCTTTCTGTTGTGATAAGCATGACCAGAAATGACTTGGGGAGGAAAGGCCTTATTTGCCTAGGTAACAGCCCATCATTGAAGAAACTCAAGACAGAACCTTATGCAGGAACTGATGCAGATGCCAGGAAGGAATGCTGCTTGCTGTTTTGCTCTCTGGCTCTTGATTAGCTTGCCGGTTTATACAACTGAGGCCCATTTACCCAGGGATGGTACCACCTCCAGTGGGCTAGACCCTCCCACAACAGTCACCAGTCAAGAAAATTTCTCATGTACACCCTGGGGCAATCTGGACAATCTGATTGAGCCCATTCAGTGAGGTTCCTTTCTCCCAGGTGAGATATCAGGTTGACAATGAAAACTGATTAGTACACTCCTGAGCTAACATTGTTTAGCTGGTGTTTTGCTTTGTTTTGTTTTTTGTTAGCCACAGGGCTGAAGTTTTAATTTATAATTTATAGATTGAAACTTTTTAAACTTTTTTAAAAAAGATTTATTTAGTATGTATAGAGTGTTCTCCCTGCATGTAACCTGCTGGCCACAAGAGGGCACCAGATGTCATTATAGATGATTGTGAGCCACCATGCTGGGAATTGAACTCAGAACCTCTGGAAGATCAGCCAGTGCTCTTAGCCACTCAGATTTCTCTCCAGTCCTGAAACTGTAAAAACTTTTAAAGGCAGATTTATTTATTCCCCTGCAACTGGAGTGACAAACAATTGTGAATACGAGGACTAGAACCCAGGTCCTCTCAAGAGCATCCACTGAGTGCTCTTAACATCTGACAGTCTCCCCAGCCCCCTAGATAAGTGTTTGAATGTAGAAAAACAAACTTGATATATTAGAGCAGTAGGTTGCAATTCTTTGAAATGAGCTTCTGAGAAGAGCAGTAAAAGTGTGAGAAGAAATGATGTCTGTGGAGTGAATGGGATGATCGCAGAGAAGTTGTAGTTGGATGATTTCATAAACTCTGTATTTCTAAGTCCTTTATCGTGGGTCTAGTAAAACAGAGGAATTGGAAAGGTTGTAGTGAATGACCAAATCTAAACTGTTAGCTTCAGATCTTTACACAAAGCATGTTGGGAAAGCTTTCGTTTGTTCCTAAGTTTTTAATAGGGACATATGTTGCTCAAAGATGATGTCAAGGAACTCTTAAAAAAAAAAAAAAAAAAAAAACTGAACCAGTGAAAATCACTATTGGAAAAAATATATAACTAAAAATGACGGTGAAAGGAGCTTTGGTAACAGAATAATAGTTATTTGGTAACAAGGTCACTTCTGTTCTTTTATTAATATGGATAATACCTGATATTAAGTTCTGATACCAGGAGTAGAATTAATCTATCTTTTAAATTTCAGAAATAAAGACTGATTGCTCTTCAGTGACAGCAGGCATCTTTAGTGCCATAAGTCTATCAGAGGGTTTAAATGGACACATGCAGGAAAAGTAGACTCTGTAAGAGGCTTCATTCTGTGCTTGTGCAAGTGTGTTGGCAGTAGGTCCGGCACGATGTCCTGTTTGTGCGTTAGCAGTAGGTCCCGACATGATGTCCCGTTTGTGGCTGAGTTGAAAGATAAGTTAGTGTTCACTGTATGATAGACGGAGAAATTTGAGGTAAAGGAAAGAGAAAAGGGAACGGGGAGACTGAATAGCATTCTAGTGAGGAAAAAGAAAATGTGTTTGTATAAATAGGATTTCGGAACAGAAGACCTTGGCTAAGACCCTGGTCTGGCTGTAATGCCTGAGAACTGATTCACCTGCTGTCTTGTAAACCATGTTGATGGTGTCAGAGCTACCGATCTCATTAGGTCTGTTCTACAATATAATCTGCTTTACATGGTTTGTTATTTTTCAGCTTAAATGTGATTCGGTGGTGACTGCCATCAGTGCTGGTCCAGGAACGCTGAATTTCAAAATAAACAGAGAATTACTAACAAAGGTAAGAGTGGATTATAGTCTGGTCTTTGTGCTTTCACGTAGTTTAGCCACACTGCTTGCCCAGCTCTCAGACGCCAGCTCAGAACCTGTGCACAGGATTCCTCAGTCTGCAGTGCAGTAGAAGTTAATCTTTCTTCCTCCCTCTTTTTTTTTGGGGGGGGGGATGGTATTTCCAGTGTTTAAATCCAGGGCTTTTCATATGCTTAAGCAAGCACTTTACCACTTAGTCACAGTTGCTCCCTAGCCCGTGACAGTCGCTCACTGATGTTCTCACTGTGGGCTGTCTTAGCACTGTTCATCTCTTCTTGCAGAAAGCACCTTGCTATTTTACATTCCATCTTTTCTTCTTTGTTTGGTTTTTCAAAACAGGGTTTCTCTGAGTAGCAATTCTAGCTGTCCTGAAACTCACTCTGTAGACCAGACTGTCCTCGAATGCACAGAGATCCTCCTGCCTCTGCCTCTGCCTCCTGGGTGCTCAGGTTAAAGGTGCACCTCACATTCCATTTCTTTGTCTGGTGCCGCTTGTCAACTCTTAATTCACTTTGGGGTTTAGCGTCTGTCTTTCCCACTGTCCTGTTTCTGTGTTTTGCCGTAATGCCTGGTGCATCATAGATTCTAGATAAATACTGTTTGTTGATAAATGCGCTCTGTAGTGAAAGTGTGTTGGTTTCTACTCCCTGCTATTCTACAGTCCGTTGGAAACGTAAGGCTTAAACTGGAGAAACCATGGGATAGCTTTTTCTTTTAATAAAACAGTAAGTAGTAAAGTTAAAATGTTTTAAATACAGTAAGAATAAAAAAATTCAGATGCTGGAGTCGGGATGGGCCAGAGGTGTTGGAGAAACCTTGCAAAGGAACTGACTCTCTCCCAAGCTAGTACGTTGGAGAACAGGTGACCCTGGATACGTGATTACATGAAAGCTTTAAGTCAAGATCATCTTGATCAAACACGTGCAGTCTCTAATTAACATAGTCACTTGATTGGGAGAATTTCTGCTGTTTGACTTCTTATCTCCTGTATCCCAGGCTGGTCTTGAACTGGATGTGTAGCCAGTGATGACCTTGAACGTCTGATCTTCTTGCTTCCACCTCCTGAGTGTCCCGTTTTTAGGCCTGAGCCAGCACACCAGGATTATACAGTGCTAGGGTTGAAACACAGAGATTTGTACAGGCAAGGAAACTGCTGTTATCAACTGAGCTGTTATGATCTTAGGAAAATTAACCTCCTTGCCTTGCCTTCCTTGTTTGTGAGCATAGTACTCATCTCTGAAGCCGTATGAAGATTAACTGAGTTAATACATGTAAAATCCTCATCCCAGTCTTTGTAACATCATCTGTACTCAGTAACTGATCAGATACTGCTTCTGGCTGTGCTATTACTATTTCCGTGGGACTTTTGGCAGTTAACCTTATCTCATGAAGCTTCAATGTCCTGATCTGTAGGTATTATTCGTAGTTACTGTAATAATGAATAGATGAGATTTATGGGCCCTGAGTAGCCCCTTCATTATTAGCTCACGTTGTAAGTGCTCTCAGAGAAACTGGCAACAAGTGCTGTTGGTTCCAGAGCTGGTGCTGCTGACAGTGCTGTAAAATTCTGGGCTCTGAAGTTGAGTGAAGAAGTTAGCAACATTTAATCTCCAGGGACGCAGTAGGTAAGGACATTCTTTCCACCACTAAACCCCACCCTTCTGTTCTTCAGGCGGTGCTGCAGCAAGTAACTGAAGACGGCTCAAAGTATGGATTAAAAAGTGAGCTTTTCTCGGATCTGCCCCTGAAGAGGATTGTGGTGGAATTCAGGTGAGTACTCTTCAGTTATGTGTTGATGAGCCAGCTGATGGGGCAGAGAGGCTCATACCTCGGGGTCGAGTTTTCTTTCCACGGCAGTGGAAAGTTGAGAGTCCGTGACATTGTGTTACTTTGTAAGGATCACAGTCAATCAGCCATTAAACCAGGAATAAAAAGGATAAAATTAGATGTTTACGTATCCAGTCTGTTTCTCCTTTCCTTGTTTTAAGCAGGATCTCCACATTGGCCTTGAACTGGATGGGTAGCCAATGACCACCTCCTGCAAAATTTCCAAATAGCAACACCAGCTTGGGACCAAGGAATCAGTTTGAGCCTATGGGGGACATTTCTTATTCAAATCACAACACTCTCTTTAAAAAAAAAAAATCGTGTCCTCATAAGATTTAGGAGATTACATTAAATAGTTTACAAAAGTAAGGTATCCAATTGTAATTCCATTGTGGTTATTTTGGTTGCCAAAGGAATTGAATTTGCCTTTCCGTCTTATAGGATTCTTTTCTTAGTAGGGAATTAGTTCCAGAAAATGTCAGATTAATGATTTCAAGGAACATTTTGTCAGTTTGTCGGTCCTGTCAGTAAACACCATTCCCTGCTGAGCCATCTCTCCAGCACTTTCTTCCTTGTCTCAAAATAGTTTCATACGTGTGCCATTTCTGAGTGTTGCACTACTTTATCGATCACAGGATCAATGATTATTGGTTAATGATAGGTTTGATTCTTTCCAAATTCTAATTTATCCTTACTGTTAATTCTGATGTCTAACCTACCTCCTGAATTGTCAAAAGCCCTGCTCCCTAATTTTGTCACCCCAAATAAGCATTATTATCTAGTTCATGTTCAAAATTTTTGTTATTGGAATAAGAAAATATTCTTGCAATTTTTGCAGTTCACCTAATGTTGCAAAAAAATTTCATGTTGGCCATTTGCGCTCCACCATCATAGGTAAGTGTTCCCTTTAACAGACAGTACTAAACGTGTCTAGGAGACATACATGATAATGCAATGTAATGGTTCAGAGTTAAGTGAAAAAGGAGGAAAAGGCCCCCACAATGTAGATCACATGAGCATGATGCTGAGTAAATGTTGCACTACATTGAAAAATTGGTTTACAGGTTAAAAACCAAAATTTATTTCAAAAGGTAAAGGCTGAAGTCAGTTTTCATTGGTGTGTGTGTTATGATTGTAACTTAGACATACAGAAAACTGAAAGAGGCAAAAATAAAAAATAGTCACAAAATATTTCTGTGGGTTGGCAGAAATCTTTCACATTTTTTGTTCCTGCTACTGTAATTTTCAAGACTGGAAACTAAAGTTTTTAATAGAAATTATTTACTTTAGGAATACTGGAACTACTTTATAGTTATAAAGCTTTCATATATAATATGCTTTTTGAAGTGTGTGCGCACTTGCGTATATGGGTGTGGGAACTGCCTACAGAGTCCAGAAGAGGGTGTCAGGTGTTCTGGTTGTGATTCACCTAACACGAGTGTGGAGAACTGAACTCTAGTGCTGACTAGAGCAGCCAGCATAGCAAACACTCTTTAACCACTGAGCCCTCTCAAGTCCTGCCCTCTGTTTATTTAAAATACTTTGCAGTACTGCAATTCAAAACTCAATTTAGGATTGTGCAATATTAGAATTGGAGTTATTCCAGGTTAGAAATCTATGATGTGTACTCGAGAGTAAGCCGTTTAGATGCTACTGTGATATATTTCAAAATTGGAAAATTGTATGAGTGGCAGATTATTGTTGAAATAAGAAAGCTTTCATGGTTAGAAAGTCCTTGAGCAGTATTTTATGGGGAAAAAATAACAGGACGTAACCAAAAGTATCTAGGAAATCTGTCGTATAACAAAATCTACATTAAATGGAGTCAAAAAAGAGTAAATGGGTAAGTAGGCTATGATAAAGTAATCACTTTATCAGGAAGAAAGAATATTTATTGAAATTTAGTGAACTAAGTGTTTAAATGTGCTACCTCATTGGTCTGTGCAGTACAGAGTCTAGAAAATAACCTTCAATAGCCATAGTTTTAGTTTTTGAATGAATATCTATTTATTAAGTATATAGCAAGTAAAAGAGTAAACAGCAAGTCAGAGAGAGAGAAAAGTAGGTGGGGAGATGGAGAAAAAAAGCAGAAAACCAAAATAATGGTCCAATCAGGTGCTCAAAACATTTGGCAGAAACCAACTGGGAAATCCTTTTAAGACAGCCAGCTAGTAGAGTTCCCCGTTGAGCAAGCTTCCTCAGGTGAGACTTCCAAGTGTAAGAACAAGCAGCGACAGCCAAGGATAATGTATCCGACACTCAATAGCTTCAGCTGAACTAGTGCGGGACATGGAGGCAGTCAGCTGAGTTTCCTGTGGCTAACCTTCAACTTTCCCTTCTTTAAGTGCTTTTATGTCATAGGATAGACCTCAGGTGGAAATGGCTTCTATTCCAGCTCTTTGCAAGGACAGGGTTCTTCCCTTCATGTTACAGAGGTAGAGGAACAGCCGACTCTCAATCAAAGGGGTGACATGCTTGGGTCTGAAGTGGGGGTGGAGACAGCTTCTCAGTGAGCTTGAACAGCACGGGACAGTTTACCATTTAGTGTATTTTTTCCCATTTAAGTCACAACAGCCCTGCTCGGTAAGTACTACTAAGATTTATGAGGAAGAAATTTGAGCAGAAGTAACTTTCTCAAGATCATATGGATAAAGTATTTGTAGCTAGGATCTGAAATTGTCCAATTCTGAACCATACAGATATATTCAGGTGTACTTGTGAGCTGACAGTGTACTAAGAAAAATAGATATACAATATTAGTGGCAGTTGAAGAAGGTAAGTTTCCTGCTGGGGCTGTATAGATTTGGAAAGTGTGCAAACAGAGATGCTTGTAATTCAAGTTAGGCTTTTGTTTTAATCTTATTGATTTGTTACAGGGTCTTATTTGTAGCCTAAGTTGACCTAGAACTACTATATAGCCCAGACTAAGCTTGAACTTTTGGCAATCTTGCCTCAGACTCCCAAGAGCTAGGATTACAAGTGTTTGCCAGCAAGCCACTGTATTTAAATCAGGAAATGATTTATTATAAAAAATAGAATGGTTTGCAAAGTTATTGGAGAACTATAGATGTTTTTAATTGAGCAACAAGAACAACTCCCAAAACATTCCCAGAGTTCAGTTACCAAGGGAGCGTCTGCCTCTTCTACCATTGCGTCCATGCTCTGGGACCACTGCCATAGTCTGGAAACTGCCACTGTTCATGCCTTGTCTTCTGCAACCCATTACGGGCAAAGAGGTCACACCATGGCCTGTCTTTCAGCTTGTTTTGGAAGTTAGGGCACAGTACTAGAATCTGTATTAGGTGCCACTGAAGAGAGGGAAGAAAAAACAAATGCCCCAAAGTTGCATAACTGCTTGTCACGGCCAGACCAAACAGCCAGAAGTAACTCCTTTGCCAAATCACATGCAAACTGCCTAAACCTAGATTTCTGGAACCCTAACTACAAAGGACTCTGGGAAATGGGGAAGTCGATATTTTAGGTTTTACAGTGTATGAAGACAGATAGATACTGAACATCAGACTTGCATCAGCAGAACATGGAAGTACAGGCTGTGGAGCAGTGTGTGCTCTTGGGGAACAGTCTTGTGGAAGACGCACGGTAGTTCTTGGAAGGAGATATCTGAGCTAGTTAGAAAAGGGTGGGGTAGACACATGAGTGCAGGTGCCTGCAAAGTGTGTTGTGCACGTGCGCACGCATGTGTGTGCGTGTACACGTGTATGTAAGTACAGGTGCTTGCAGAGTGTATGTGTGTGTGTACACGTGTGTAAGTGCAGGTACCTGCAGAGGCTGAATGTGTGTGTCTGTGTACACTTGTGTCTGTAAGTATAGGTGCCTACAGAGGCTGAGTGTGTGTGTACACTTGTGTCCGTAAGTGTAGGTGCCTACAAAGACTGAGTGTATGTGCGTGTGTATACACATGTGTATGCAAGTATAGGTGCCTGCAAAGACTGAATGTGTGTGCATGTGTGTACATGTGTATGTAAGTGCAGGTTCCTACAGAGACTGAGTGTGTGTGTGTTTGTGTATACACATGTCTATTTAACTGCAGGTGCCTACAGAGGCTGAGAGTGTGTGTGTGTGTGTGTGTGTGTGTACACATATGTATATAAGTGCAGGTTCCTACAGAGGCTGAGGCTAGGTGGGTGTGTTTGTGTGTGCATGTGAATGCAAGTGCAGGTGCCTTTGGAGGCCAAATGAGGGCATCAGATCCCCTGGAGCTGGAGTTACAGGTAGTTGTGAGCTCCTGATATGAGTGTTTGGAACCAAACTTGGACCTTCTGGAAGAATAGCAAGTAACCTTAACCACTGGGCCATTTCTCTAGTTCCCTAAGTGCTATATTCCTTGGAATTAACTAAGAGTAGTTGTTACTCTTCTTGTTTTGTTTTTAAGATTGTATTTATTTATTTTATGTATGAATACTCTATATGCATGTATGTAAGAGAGTTTTAGATTCAACTATGATGGTTGTGAGCCACCATGTGGTTGCTGGGACTTGAACTCAGGACCTCTGGAAGAGCAGCTGGTGCTCTTATCCATTGAGCCATTCCTCCAGCCCTGAGTAGTTATTATTCTAACAGGTGTTTCTAACTGCCAACAATGATGCTGATAAGAGTTCTATTTCTGTGAATACTATAGAAACCTTTGGAATAACGACTCACTAAGTAATTCCTTACTTCATATTCTCACACAAGTAACACATCATGAATGCTTTAATGAAAAACATTGAGTTGGTATGTTTTGTTAAAAGGGCTTTCTATGTTATAACTTGGTAATAGAGAAGAACATAGTTTTAAAACCAAAATGGCTTTAAAAATTAAGATTATATATGTATTTGCTTCTAGGAAATTTTATAGCAAATCTAAAAGAAGCTTTAGGGCATCAAGTAACAAGAATAAATTACATTGGAGATTGGGGCATGCAATTTGGTAAGTATGTCTGACATGCTTTTCATTCTATTATATGACCTAATTGTTTCAAGTACTATAACATTTGATCATCTGTATGGGATATAGACAAGATCCCTGTTGGATAAAATAGTGTAATAGTGTGATGCTAGGAATTGAACTTGGGGGTCTCCTGTATTCCTGGCACATGAACTACCACTGAGCTGTATCTGCCTATAGAGTTATATATTCTACATAATCTCATCATATAATTAAATTGAATATTCAGAGCAATGCCTAATTAATACACTTAACACACGCACATGCACATTAAGCCTTTAGTGAGGAAGAGTAACTTACCTTTATTAATTAAAGGTAGAAGTGAATACACAGAGAAGAAATAATTCTAGCTATGTATTCCCATCTCAGCCAAAGCCTGCATTTTTAGATCAGTGAGGTCCAACCCCTGCCCCATCCGATGAGAAATGGGATTTATTGTTATGTGAACTTTGAGTATATCAGTATAATTTTGAATGTCTAGTGCCTCACAAAGTAATTGTTCAATAAATGTTTGTTTTCTTACTGTCTGCCAAGGAATTACTGGGTGCAAAGATAAGTAGACCTAGACTTTGTGTTAGATGAGCTTACAGTCTCAGTGGTCCATTACAGTTTGGAATAAGTTTTTCAGTGTTTTTCTTTTGATGTGTCATGATGTAGGATGTCCTTCTGTATATGTGTTAATGGTTAATGAATAAAGCTGCTTTGGCCTATGGTGGGGCAGAATATAGCCAGGCTGGCAGAGATATAGAGAGAAAGTAGGCGGAGTCAAAGAGATGCCATGTAGCTGCCGAAGGAGAAGGACGCCGGAACCTTTCCGGTAGGCCACATCCTCATGGTGATATATAGATTAATAGAAATGGGTTAATTTAGGATGCAAGAAGCCTGAGTAATAGGCCAATCAGTGTTATAATTAATATAGTTTCTGTGTGATTATTTGGGTCTGGGCAGCTGGGAACGAAAGAGCAATCTCCGTTTACAGTGTCATTTTGTAAGATATGCCTTATATATAGCAGTAATTCTCAGGGTTTATAACTGAGAAGTTCATCTTTTTATAGAACTATACCTGGTTTTCACCATGACTGACTGCTCTATTATTTTATTGAATAATGTTTCATTTACTGATTATCTTAACAGGTCTGCTGGGAACAGGTTTCCAGCTGTTTGGCTATGAAGAAAAACTCCAGTCCAACCCTTTACAGCATCTCTTTGAAGTAAGTTGGTAAGGCAGCATTAGAGAATGCTTCAACATTTTTTTCAGAATACTTCACAAAGACTTTTTAAAGGCAGTCCCAAGATCTGACTAATTTCAGTTCCAGTCCAACTGGTTTCTTTAAAAAAAAAAGGGGGGGGGGGTTCTGTTTTACTTGATTTTAAACAGTATTTCCCCAGATACATGGAATCATCTTAGGAATAATGCATAGGATCTGCTCAGGCAGTGCACATTTATAGTCCTAGCTCTCAGGAGGCCGGTCTGTGCAACAGAGCCTCAAAACAAACAAACAAACCATAAAATCCACACAGGCTAATGGCCAAGAAAGACACAGAAATTTCTCTCTGTTCTGTCAGTTTATATATTTCATCTTACTTTCTGGTATTTATAGCAACAGCCCTGGCTGTCCTGGAACTTACTCTGCAGACCAGGCTGGCCTTGAATTCATAGAGATCCACCTACCTCTCCCTTCCCAGTGCTGGGATTAAAGGCTGGAGCCACCACTGCCCGGCAAGACTTGTAAATCTTTAGTGTATGCTTTTTTGCCCTTTTATTTTCTCATTGTACAGGAAAACCACTGTATAAATTGTATTCTGAAGTTTTATGTTTTGTTTTATTCATTAAGCCATTCAGTTGTTCCTGATGTGAACACCCTATTTTCTTCATTTTTTCCTCTGGATAGTTTTATTCTCTGTCTCTCAGGTTTCTTTTCCTGCCCAAGTAATCTCCAGAGTCAAATTTCATCTTCATTGTCTCATTGTTTTCTGTGTCACACATGTTAGTGACATACAGGGGACCAAACTACAGATGTTCTGTCTCTGTAAGGAAGAGTACTCGCCAAACTAAGGGTCTACATCCCTAACCAAAGAACTCAGAGAGGGCATTTGTCATTTCCTTTTTGCTTGATCTTTCCCTTGAAGCTACCTATGTAGTAAAGTTGAATTCTCTATTTCTTTTAGAGTTTATGCCTGCATCACACTTTCTTCTTTTTATTTTTATTGTTTTAGTTCTGGGTCTATGCATGTTGGTATGTTCACATGAATGCAATTGCCCTCGGAGGCATCACATTCCTTGTAAGCTAGAGTTACAGCGAGCTAGAGCCCACTTAGGTGGGTGCTAGGCCTCTGGCAGCACAGTGAGTGCTTTGAGCTACTGGGTCACCCCTCCCGTTCTGCACCTTACATGGAGACTGAAAACTTAGCTTATCTTTTCCATTACAATTTGCAAATGGCTAATGGCGGATACCAAAAAAAAAAAAAAAAAAAAAACAATTAAAACTGCATTAGAAGTGAGCCTTAGTAAACCATCAGCCCCATACCTTTCCAGTTGTTTACAGAACTAAACCAGCAAAGTGGATAGTGCAAAACCACAAAATGCCTGTTCCACATAATGCTGAGGAGTCCAAGCTGGGATTAGCTAACCTTCCTGTATTTCTGTTTGCAATCACCACCTGTTGTGCTAGTCTCTTATAGCTTGAAAGAATAGCTTTAAGTTTTTTCATAAAAAATAGCTCCTGGACCACATCTGAGAAGATTAGGCTGGGTTAGTAGTCAGATGTAGGTGGAAGAAGACTCCAAAGTCCCCACCCGCGATGCTCAACCCTTTGATGAGGTTCAGCGCTGGGGGAGTCATTGTCCTCAGTTGTGTAGCAGGGTTTGATAACAAAATATCCAACCCAGTGGTCACACAGATGGCCCTGTTCAGAGGTCATGAATCTGGGGACGGGATGGAGAGAGGAGAATGGAGGATGACAGCGTGAGAGGGGGAGGAGGGAAGCACAGTTGGAGTGTATTATGACATGGGAGACTGTCAAAGAATAAACAATAGAAAATAGTCTTCAGTAGCTGTTAAACCTCCCTTCATCGTTCATTTACTGGATTAAGCCATGCTACTCTGATAAGCCTTTCTCAATGAAGTGTTTGTGTGGAAATAGCAGTGTATAATAATACATTTAATGTACTTTTAGGTTTACGTACAGGTTAATAAAGAAGCTGCAGATGATAAAAATGTAGCGAAATTGGCACACGAATTCTTCCATCGACTAGAACTGGGTGACGTGCAGGCACTTTCACTGTGGCAAAGATTTCGGAACTTGAGCGTTGAAGAGTACATTCAGATTTACAAGGTATCCCCAGAACCTCTGTGTTCCCTTTCTGGTATTGTGCTTATTGCCTGCTGCTTGAGCTCGTATTTAAGAGTAGATGTCTAGTTTAGTTGAAACTCCAGTCAAATGGTGTTCTTGGGTGGGAGAGCTAAAAACAAATAAATAATCCAGAGCTCCTCTCGTCCTCATTCTCTCGGAAAACATAATTTGTGAGGTAGTGCTAGACGGTGGGGAAAGAAGACTGTACTGGGGGTGAGTGAGCAAGGTGAGCGGTGGTGTGGAACAGGAGCCAAGAGGCTGGACTGGAGCATGATGGTGCCCTTTGCCAGGCTGTGCAGTTAGTGCAGACTTCTGGCCGCAGAAGCCTCCGCAGCTGCCTTGGCCGCATGACTGCCTGAGTGTGATGGGAACTGTCAGTATGTGTTCAGTGCTATCTAGGTTCTGAAGCCATGACTGCCTGAGTGTGACGAGTAGCTGTTACAGTAAATGTTCAGTGCTATCTAGATCCTGAGGCCATGAATGCCTGTGACTGCAGATACACACTGAGGATTTGGCCACTGGCGCTGTGGTCGTTAGAAAGTCTAAGCTTTAGTTTCCATCTTTGTGGTGGGGGTAAGACATCTTTAGTTTTGTCTTAGTAAAAAATTAACCAACATTTTCCCATACTTCTGAATCTTCTTAGCGCCTTGGAGTATACTTTGATGAATATTCAGGAGAATCGTTTTATCGTGAAAAATCTCGAGATATCTTAAAGTTACTGGACAGCAAAGGACTTCTACAGAAAACAGTGTATGATCAACTACTGTTCTCCCTTCCCCCTCCCCTTCCTTCCCTTGTTTTCTTGAAGATTGTAACTCACTATGTAGTCGTGGCTGGCCTAGAACTAACTGCAGACCACGCTGCCCTGAAACTCACAGAGATCCTTCAGCGCTGAGATCAAAGGCGCGTGCCACCACACCCAGCCCCGGGTTACTGTGCTCTAGTCGAGTATGCGTGTTCTTTGACAGTGATGTCAATATAGTCTCTGAGTGAGGACAAGGATAAGGTATGTAGTGCTTTCCATTTGTACTTTCTCTTGCCAGGTATGGTGGTACTAACCTTTAATCTCAGCATTTGCGAAGCAGAGGCAGGAGGTTCTCTGTGAGTTCCATGATAGTCAGGGCCACATGGTAAGACAAAACTTACCTGTAATTTCTGCATGCAGAAGGCCGAGGCAGGGGATTCATGAGTTGAAGTAATGAGATGCTTTCTCATAGGCTATATCGCTATCATGACCAAAGTCTCATGTTAATAGGAGAAAGGATGGCTCCTCTTATAAAAGGGGACAGAAGTATAAAACAATGTAGCCTGCCTCCAGTTACCTACATTAATGATTTGAAAAGAGGAAACAATGTGCTTTTGTGACTTAACCTCACCTTTTTGGGGGTGGGGACGGACAGCTACCAGTTTCAAAAAATATTTAAGTCAACTTATAAAAATAGGTGTAAAGTAATGGTAGTACATCCCTATTGATATTGTTACCTTGTATATAGTAGAATTCTTTCCTTTTTGAGAAACTTAACAGCAGATTTTGCATTTTCATGTTGTTTCTTGAGGCTTTGCTGCAAGTGCTCATTAAGTCAAGCACGTTAGTACACTTAGCTGTGGTGAGGATGAACTATGTGCCTCTCACCTCACTTACTCAGCTGGATAGGAACATTACATTGTAATTCTAGGACTTGCTCTTGCTTTCCAACTGCAACTTTGTATTTTTTAACTAACATCTCGACCCTTCCTACTGCTGGTATTGTAACTATTTTTCTCCTTCACAAATTCCATTTGTGATGTCATGTAATTTTTTTTTTTTTTTTTTGTGCCTGACTTACTTCTTTGAGCAAAATGTCCTCCAGGTTCATTTATGTTGTTGCCAGTGTCATTCATTTTTCAGGCCTGAGCAGTGCTATTTCATGTTAGGTGTCTATCACATCTTTAAAATCTATGAGCAGACGAAGCCTGAGGTTGATTTCATGTCTTGACTATTGTACATAATGCTACAATGGACATGGCAGTGCAGTATTTTTTCAGCACAATATTTTTAATTCCTTTGGATATATATTTATTAATAGACTTGCTGGATTTAAGAATAATTCTTTATTGCAATGTTTTTCAAGACCCTCTTTACTACTCTCTGTGATGGCTGTACTAACTCACATTCCTCCCTGCGGTATGGAGGATCCCTTTTCTCCACATCCTTGCCAATGCCTGCCATCCCTTTTTTGGGTTTTGTTTATTTGTTTAAATAAAAGGCATTCTAACACAAATGAGGAACTCTCATTGTAGTTTTAATTTTCACCATGTCAGCTAACCTCTTGGTTTTGACAGTTGTTGCTTTTAGTGTGAACTGACACCACTTACAATAAGAATAGCTTCTGGTTGCCAAAAGTGCTCTAACTACTCTGCCTTCACATACAGTCATTATGTTGATTTTGGGCTTCTCTTTTGTGTTTCCTAGAACAGGAAATGTTGTAGTAGATCTCTCAGGGACAGGTGACCTCTCTTCTGTCTGCACTGTGATGCGAAGTGATGGAACTTCTCTCTATGCAACCAGGTTTGTAGTGTCTGTGGGTGAGCAGCCTGACTTCATACTCTTTGTCCCAAGATGAAAGCAAACAGTCACCTTGTCCTCCAAACTATTTTCTAAAAAATTTAGTTACAAACCATAAATCTATTTGCATATTTTAGGAATATTTTCTCGGTTTCTATTTGTTGCCAGTTACAATTTCCAGAAAGATTTAATATCAGAAGAATGGGATTTTATATTAAAATGTATTGACTATCATAAACTGTTCACAGCATAGCACATCATTCTGTCTGTGGTCCTTCATAATTATATATTAAGTGTTTTTATAAGTACACATTATCAGGAAATATATTCTAAAAAATGACCAAGTTAAGGTTCAATGTTGACCTCACATATTAGAGACCATTTTACATGCAATGCCAAACCTCATTATATTGTGAAAAATGAGAAAGTGGGCTTCTCCATACCATGCCTGTGGAAGTAAGGACTCATTCTTCATATATGAGAGTTGCACTTACCAAGCACACATGGTTTCTTGAACAAAGCCATTGGGAAGAGAAGGCAAGGCAGTGAAACAGCCATAACCATCCACTTCTGGCAGAAGGTCCCAGTGTCACCCCGGCCTGAGATTTAAGTAGGTTATAAACCACTGTATACATTGGTTTGTTGCCATTAATTCCTAACTAAATTAGAATTAAACCCAAGGTTATGTTTCTGTTAGACAAGCACTGTTCCACTCACTGAGCTATGCCAACAGCTTTACACAGAGCACAATTCTAACAGTGGTAGTTATGCTGTTGAAAATTTCATTATTACAAGTAACTGAGACAACCAGTTAACTTTCTAAAACCCCTGAGAGAACTCATCTCTGTCTAGTTTAGTATTTCTCTGCATCAATTTCTTGCAATTGGGGTTAATGAGAAAAAAAAATGGAATGCCTTACGAGAGGGGGGGTGTGGGTGTGCCCTGGGGTCTAGAAGAGTTGGTTGAATCCTCTGGAGCTGTAGTTATAGGCAGTTGTGAGCTGCCTTTCATGTGCTGGGAACTTCACTTGGCTCCTCTACCAAAGTAGTATGAGCCAGGCGGTTGTGGCGCAAGCCTTTGATCCCAGCACTGGGGAGGCAGAGGCAGGCAGATCTCTTGAGTTCGAGCATAGCCTGGTCTACAGAGCTAGCTCCAGGACAGGCTCCAAAGCCACAGAGAAACCCTATCTCAAAAAAAAAAAAGAAAGAGAGAGAGAGAGAGAGAGAGAGAGAGAGAGAGAGAGAGAGAGAGAGATATCCAGGGTCTTAGGAGTTTTTTTAAATGCAGTAGAAGTTACTGCTTCTGAGTGAGCCATTTTGAATGTTTTTGCCAACACAGACTAGGATAAACGGTACTTCTTTAGCTCTTTCTATAATTATATATAGAATCATATATAGATATGATAGAATTATATATCATCTATAATTATAATTGTATTTTTGAGAAAATGTGGTAGAAAAGTAGTAACTAGATGGTTCTTTTCTGTGAAGGCTTAGTTAAGTGTAAGACACCTGAGACTTTTAACGGTTACTTGCTCTACAGCTTTTATAACTAACTAAGTTGCATTTTAATTGCACTTCCCAGGGCATTGTTGTTTTGTTTTTTCAAACCCAATTTTGTTATTATTTCTTATCAAAGTGTACTGGGACTCTACAAGGATGTGTCATATGCTCCAGGCCCCAGAATAATACAGTAAAAGTAATTATAACCCATTTTTTCAGGGATCTTGCAGCTGCTATAGATCGCATGGACAAGTATAATTTTGATACCATGATTTATGTGGTAAGTAATCACAATAAAAAACAAAAGGTTATGAACCTACCTCATGGAAACTAGACAGAAACAGAAATCGGAAACCAGGGCCAGAGAGATGACTCGGTGGGTAAGGTGCTTGCTTTGTAAGACTCATGATGTCAGTTCAGTTCCTAAAACCCACGTAATGAAGGGAGGAGAGAATCACCTCTAAATTGTCCTCTGACCTCCATGTGTGAATCGTAGCAGGAACACCTGTGTACACATGTGCCCTCACTCACCAGCAGAAAACAAAAAGGAAACTATGTTGGAAAAATTGCCAAAAACAATTTTGTGAAACTGCGGAAAACAATTAAATACTAAGTTGATTAAGATAGTGGCATCTTTTAATTTTTTTTTTAAGATTTATTTACATTTATGTATACAGTGTTCTGTCTGCAGGCATGCCTGCAGGCCAGAAGAGGGCACCAGATTTTATTACAGATGGTTGTAAGCCACAATGTGGTTGTGGGGAACTGAACTCAGGACCTCTGAAAGAGCAGCCTTAATGACTGAGCCATCTCTCCAGGCTTTAAATTTATTTTTTAAAAGACTCAAAAGTCAAAAGTTTATCTTGCTTCATAGTGAAAAAAATTAACAAAGTCAAGAAGGCGGTCATATGAAATTACTGTACATGAGTTAGTATAAGGCACTTGCATTAATCCTATTTGTCCTATTAGTGCATTTTTTAAAAATTATTTTTTAATTTATTTTGCGGGGAGGAGTTTGTAATCTGAATATTTCCTCTTTAATTGCATCAAGGGAATGGAGAAACAGCCCACATGTGGTACACAGACATACATGCATGTAGAACACTCATACACATAAATCTTTTTAAAATTTTAAATAAAATTTTTAAACTGTATCAACTTATAGTGTTATTATACAAGCTTTATTGCTGTAAATAAAATAAAGTGTTAGAACTATGTTTTAAAAAGAACTTTTCAGGTGGTAGTGGTACACACCTTTAGCCCCAGCACTCACGAAGCAAAGGCAGGTGATCTCTGAGTTCAAGGCCAGTCTGGTCTACAAACTGAGTTCCAGGACAGTCAGGGCTACACAGAGAAAGAGAGAGAGAGAAAGAGAGAGAGGGGGGGGGAGGGAGAGAGGGAAGGAAGGAAGGAAGGAAGGAAGGAAGGAAGGAAGGAAGGAAGGAAGGAGAAATTAAGAAAACAAGAAAAAAAACTTTTAAAATTTTCAATATCTTAAGACACAAAATTTCAGACTACCAGTGGTTCTGAGTACCCTTTACCCACTCCCTTCTACAGACACATGAAATTACTTTGTCAAGATTAGATTAACATGTGTATAAACATTCAAATCTCTATCTATGTTTATCTATGCATTCCTGTATAGGCTGGTTTTATGGAACTCTGTCCCATGTATAGATGTGTAACCGCCACCACATTCAGAACACGGATGGTCACACTTCTCTCTCACCCTTCCCTCCTGGTGATCCCCCACTGGATCACAGCTCCCTCCTGGTGATCCCCCACTGGATCACAGCTCCCTCCTGGTGATCCTCCACTGGGTCACACTTCCCTCCAACCCTTCCCTTGATCTTCGGCACAGATGCTGTCAATTTAACAGTGTGTAACTGGCATCATACAGTTTGTAACTTTCTAGAATTGTTTTTTTTTTTTTTCTCCCAACTTAGCGATCGTCCCTGAGACCCAGCCAAGCCAGTGTTATCACTAGCTTGATCCTTGTGTTGTTGACTGGTATTCCAGTCTCTTCTCTGCCTACTTCCTTTGCATGTGCTGCCTCCCTGTAACCAAGAAGGCGGCACCATCTTGTTCAGCTTAGCTTTGGTCTTCTGGAAATAGAGATTATAACATCTGAGAGAGAAGGAAATGAAGTAGAATATTCTGAGTTTTTTTCATGTTTCCTCCTGTCTTAAGGTGCTACCGCTCCTATTTTCCTATCAACCTGAGTAGTCTTGTCATGTGTCTAAGATTTATTTTAATCTTTATTTATGTGTATAAGAGAAAGAAAATGAATGCCCGTGTGTGCAGGTACCCACAAGCTAGAAGAGAGCATCAGATCCCTGGAGCTGGAGCTGTGAACCGCCCAATGTGGGTAGTGGGAACCAAACTTGGGGTCTCTGGAAGAGCAGAGAGTAAATACCCTCAATCATTCAGCCATGCTCCAGCCACTACTGTGTTTATTTAAACCATTGACAGTGACTCTAGTCTGAAAGAACTCTAATGTTTTGATGTAGGACCAGCCCATTTTTACTTATTAACTTGTCTTTGTTTTCTTTAAATTCCAAAAAATTTCCCCAAGGCAGACAAAGGGCAAAAGCGGCATTTTCAGCAAGTGTTCCAAATACTGAAGATGATGGGGTATGAGTGGGCAGAAAGGTAGGATCATGTGTTCTTTGTTGCCTGGTCAAGGTCACTAGTCATATGTCAGCCATGCCTCAGGACATCAGTAATTTATGTTCACGTCTTTTCAGGATGTTAGTATGAAAAGACAGGTTGATTTTGTACTAATTTATGTCCTGATAATATTTATTAGATGTCTGCTATCAGTGTTTTGGTTTTCAGTTATTAATATCCATTTCCTCTTCCTCATAAAGACAATCAGTAATTTAATCACAAGCTAATGGTTTTCTCAGTAAAGTGAAACTTTAGTGAACTGCAAAGAATCACATCTTCTTTTTTTATATTTTATATTTTAATTATACATAATGATATCTTGGTTTTTTTTTTTTCGAGACAGGGTTTCTCTGTAGCTTTGGAGCCTGTCCTGGAACTAGCTCTTGTAGACCAGGCTGGTCTCGAACTCACAGAGATCCGCCTGCCTCTGCCTCCCGAGTGCTGGGATTAAAGGCGTGCGCCACCACCACCTGGCCATGGGAGATATTTTGATAGAAGCATGAATGACTTTCTTGGAGCTACAGTATGGACAGGAGGGCAGGACCTCATGAGCCCCTCCCCACTCCGTGAGGGGATGTTCTATGGGCCAATCTTGGGCAGGTTCACAGTTTATTAATGTATATCCCTGCCATACGTAGACGACATCGTCCCACAACACTCTCCTACTTCCTCCAACTCTTACATTCTTTCCAACTGGACTCAGCATTCAATAGTCACGCTGTAGTTTGCAGTGTGACTTTGCAGTAACTGTTGCCCACTGGATAAAGTTTCTCTGACCAAAGCTGGACAACACTTAGAAGGTACATTCATAAGTGTAATACGTCCATTTATCAGAACAACACTAGCACTTCCTTCATTTCGGCTCAAAACCATTCAAGCTGTGAGCTTTAGCCATGTGTGCATAACCAGGTCTGAATTTCCTTCAGAGCAGTTAGGTGCCTCTCTAACAGTCTTCCCCGTGTTACACCGTGGGCACATCCCGTCTGGCAGGAGGAGTATGACATGCAAGGTTCACAGCTGAGTAAGATTGTTGATGATACCTCTCCTCCAGCCTATGGCTTCTTGTGGTACTATGAAAGCTAGCCAGCAGGGAAGAGACTCCTAGCCCAGCCCCAGCTTGATTTCTCAATGTCCTGCACGCATATCATGTCTTATACTATTGGTGGATAACCAGATAGCTTGTATTGTTTTAGGGGCTCAAGTCATAAGGTGGTATCCACCCTGGCACTGAGATTTTTTTTTCTTAATAAACTTATTGGTTGTGGGAGCAGTTTATGCATCCACACAGTATTGCCATTCAAACTTTAAATATTACTTTGTTTTTAATTAGCTCACAAAGTAATCAGTTTACTAATGGCTTTCTCATCCATTCTTAGTTGTGATTTCCCTCTCCCCTAAGATCTCCCCCACTTCTTTGCTCTCCATCCCCACTTAAATCTTTCCACCCCCAATTCCTCTTTTCATTTCTCTATCAGATGTGTTTTACTGTCGTTGTCCCCACCCCTTCCCAGGCTTCTCATGAGTCCCTTTCCACTTTCTTAGCCTGTACACACAACTGATTCCGACATGAATGCCCACGTGTAAAAATCAGGGGTTAGGAAAGAACATGGCAGTGTTTGTTTTTCTGAGCCTGGGTTATCTCACTCAATATAACCTACTGGATATGTGCATGTGGAATAATGGAAGAAGATAGTTATCTCTCACACACTGCACAAAAAAGTCAACTCCTAATGGGCTCCTAGACTTTAAGTAATATCTAAAACTACTACAAGAAAAAGTATGGAAAACAAGTTAAGATATGAGCACTTTCTTATGGCACTTCACTCAGGCAATAAGGCTAACATTTAACAGATGAAACCTCATAAAGTTAAGCATGTGTACAATAAAGGAAACAGTCAAGTAAACAAAAAAGGATTTCTGTGAGTTTGAGACCAGCCTGTTCAACATAGTGTGTTCCAGAACAGCCAGAGCTATAGAAAGAGACCCTGTCTCAAAAAAAACAACAAAAGTGTGTGTGCCAATATTGTTTAAGTATTCACCATTATAAGCCACCAGGAAATGCAAATGACAACTTTGAGATTCCATCTCACTATAGTCAGAGTGCTGTTACCAAGAAAACAGATGGCCACAAATCATAGTAAAGACGTGGGGGAAGGGAAAGCTGTCTACGCCTGTGCTGGTGGAACTATAAACTGGCACAGCCACTATGGAAATCAGTATGGAGCTACCGTATGACTCGGCTAAACCATGTCTGGATATATACCCACAGGGCTCCATGTCCCACTACAGAGACCTCTTTCACAATAGCAAGAAAATGGTATCAGTCTGGGTGTCCAGCAAATAGTGAAAATGTACCTGTATACAGTACAACTTTTCAGCTATTAAAAAATAATGAGAATTTTTGTTTGAAATGAGGTCCCTTGCAGAAGTTGGCCTTGAACTGTGTATGTAACTGAGAATGACCTTGAACTCCTAGTCTTGCATTGGCTGCCACGGATGCCATTCCTGGCTACATCCTATTTATTTGGTAATTTTTAAAAACTCTACTACAAGGTTAAAAGTTTGTTTTCTGAAAGGGTGCTAAGATATACTCACATCATTCATACCATTTAAGCTTTTGGTTAATAAATGCCTGTCCATTCCAGGTGCCAGCATGTACCTTTTGGGATAGTAAAGGGAATGAAGACTAGAAGAGGGGATGTCACTTTTCTGGAAGATGTCTTAAATGAGGTTCAATCAAGAATGCTACAGAACATGGCTTCCATTAAGAGTAAATACTCTGCTACTTTTATGCTTTCTTGGACTCCACTGAACCTGATCAGAAGTAGCTTTCATTAATTTGACATGTAGCTCAGTTGTTCATTGGTATAAGTTTAGTCTTCTTTTCATGGACAGCTTGAATGTTGACAGACTGTTGTCCAAGTCGTCCTGTGACGTGCTTGTATTTTTATACATGTCTGTGTGTCAAGTGCACACATTCATACATTCATGTTGAGGCAAGAATTCTCAGACGCTGCCCACTTTTTACAAAACACGAACAAGCAGGATCTCTGACTAGGCTGGCTGGTCATGAGCCTCTCTAGCACTGGGATTGCACACACAAACCACTGCTCTCGGAGGTTTGTTTGTTGTTGTTGTTTTTATCAACAACATAGGTTCTGGTTTTCACACTCAGGTCCTTGTGTTTTCAAGGTGTCATGCTTTTTTATTGTGTGTTGAGACACCATAACCAAAGCAACATATAAAAGAAAGCGTTTAATTTGAGGCTGATGGCTCCAAAGGTTTACAGTCCATGACCATCATGACCGGGTATATGGCAGCAGGCTGACAGACACTGGAACAGTAACTTAGAGCTTACATCTTGATCCACAAACAAAAGGCAGAGAGAGCTAACTGGGAGTGACATGGGCTTTTGAAACCTCAAAGCCAACCCCTCAGTGACACACCTCCTCCTCTTTCCGAGCAGTTCCAGCACCTGGGGACCGAACATTCAGATATGAGCCTATGTGGGTTCTCATTCCAAACACCACATTACGCCGGGCGATGGTGGCGCACGCCTTTAATCCCAGCACTCGGGAGGCAGAGGCAGACGGATCTCTGTGAGTTCGAGACCAGCCTGGTCTACAGAGCTAGTTCCAGGACAGGCTCCAAAGCCACAGAGAAACCCTGTCTCGAAAAACAAAAACAAAACAAAAAACGAACACCACATTAGGCGAGCACTTTGCCAACTAAGCTGTCTTCCAGCCCAAGTCCTTGCATTGTAAATTGGATAAAGTATAAGTATTTAATCTTCACCCTTGAAAAAGTAAGGGCTTTATCTAATACCTTACACGGAATATTTATTTAAAAAAAAGAAATGAAGTTCCTGTTTCTTCACTTTGATGTAGGCAGGAGAACTGACTATTACCCCAAATTAGGATGGGAAGATCCATTATCATCTTATTTTTTGATTGTACATTCTTAGATTTTTTCCCATACGCTGACCCATTATCCTTGAACAGTGAGGTGCACATTGAAAGCAGCTGCCTTTATCTGTTTCAGCAACAAAGAAAATGGAGAACCCACAGGAGACTGCAGAGCGGGTGGGGCTCGCAGCTCTCATCATCCAGGTGTGTGATGGCTTCTTCCTCAGGGGTCTTTTTTGTCAGTGTGCAGCGAAACCCAGAGTAACGATGTGTTTTCGTTTAGGACTTCAAAGGTTTACTCCTATCTGACTATCAGTTCAGTTGGGATCGTGTCTTCCAGAGTCGTGGGGACACTGGAGTCTTCCTACAGTATACCCACGCCCGCCTCCATAGGTGAGAAGAGGCTGCAGGGAACCTTGGCTCTCCTTCCCTGGGCTGGAGCCTGCTTGGTGTGCTTCTCAGATTGGTGCTTGGTCCTGTTTTCTGGACTTTTCCAAAACTGGGTAAAACACAGCAGACCTCTTATTGCTAAGCACTTATCAGTCACCTACTATAAGAAACACTTTTGATTATTGCCTTATTTCATCCTCAGAGTAATTCTGCCAGAGAAAATCCTGTCACCTACAGTTTAAAATACTTTGAGGAAAATGAGGATTTAAATCAGTGTCAGTGTCAAAGTCAAGGGTTATATTAGGGAGATCAAGAATGTATACCCAGGGGCTGGAGAGATGACTCAGCGGTTAAGACCACTGGCTGCTGTCCCATAGGAACTGGGTTCAATTCTCAGCACCCACATGATAACTCACAACTGTTTGTAACTCCATCTCCAGAGGATCTGACACTCTCACACAGACATGCATACAGGCAAAACACCAATGCACACAAAATGAGAAGAAATGGATGTTTAATTTAAAAAAACAGAATGTATACCCAAAGCTAATATTTCATCACATGTAGTTATGGACCCTCAAACACTGACCCTTTCACACTTGTTTAAACTCTTGGTGACAGTTTGGAAGAGAACTTTGGATGTGGTTACCTAAATGATGTCAACGTTGCTTGTTTACAAGAGCCACAGTCTGTTTCAATTCTCCAGCATCTTCTCAGGTATGAGGTTTTTGTGTTTTTTCCACGTCTGATACTCTTAACTAAATTGAGAACATTTTTTGCTGACTTCTAGAATCATTGGTTCAGAGATTGCCTTCTTCCTCTAGACAGACTTAGGAGGGCCCAAAAGGAGTCTGTCTTTTCAGAACAGACTGGGGTCACCATTTAAGCCAATGTTCAAGGTCAATCCTAGCCTTAAAAATATTATCACAAAATATAATGCCACGAAGTAGTAGTGCACGATCTAAGGCCACGGTCTAGGAGGTGAAGCCTGGGACGAGCATGGTCTTTGAATGAGCATCCTCTGAGGCTGTTATGATGGGGGAAGGAAAAGCCCAATCTCCAGTGCATTTGTCCGCCTAGTACTGCCACACAGGCTGACCACACCTTGACTCCACGAGATCAGAGAACACAGAGCAGTGTGTCTACGAAGGCAGCTTTCTTCAGTTGTCATACAGCACTCGGCAGATCTTTCTTCAGATAGGGAAATTTTACTACCACGTAACTAATGTGTGGCAGAAAATAAGCCCTCCTGATTCCCTTAGCCCTGAGACCAGAGCTCACTGCCTTAATAATTAGGCAAGGTTTTTCTTTTTCTCTTTTTGCTCAGGACTAGATCTAAGAGATACAAAGATGATTTAGAATGTCTCTGCTATCAAGGAATTTATATGAAAGAAAAATGCACATTAGTGATGAGATGTACCCAGGTCTTTTCTCATATGCCTCCTTAACACCCAAGGTGTTTAACATGTTAATGTGTTAGCTTCATATAACAAATGAAGTCTGTTCCTGTCGTCTTTTAGGTTCGATGAAGTACTTTATAAATCATCTCAGGACCTGCAACCTAAGCACATTGTTGGCTACCTTTTAACGCTAAGGTAATTTTTCTTAATCTCCCTTTTTTCTTTTCAAAATCTTAAGACTTATTTTTATTCAAGTGTGTGTGTGTGTGTACTCACAAGCATGCGTGCTAGTTTAAATTCATGATAAACTCAGTGCTACATTGAAGAAAGAAACCAAAGTACTTCCCTCTCAGAGTGGCTTAACCAGAGTGAGGCAGAACTTCTCTTCTTCCCGTCACGTCCGTAGCTTCTGAGTCACTGGCCTCTGTAATGTACCTGTTGTACGATGCGGTCTTGTCTGTCCCTCTACTGAACAGAAGAAATAAGAGACACCAAGACACCTTTCACTGTTTTACTTACACAGGAGGAAACTTTACTGGCCTCTAGGTGTATTAACTCAGCTATGAAGTCCAGCCAGAATTCAGCTTCTTTGAATGTAAGAGCTGGTTTCATAAAATGGCACCACCACATGTGTTTGGTGCCTTCAGAGGCCATCAGGTCCCCAGAAGCTGGCTTTGAAGCAGTTGTGATCTACCTGACTGGGTGCAGGGTCCTCTGGAAGAGCAGCATGTACTCTTAGCTGCTGAGCCATCTCCCCAGCCGTCTACTTTCTCCTTCGTCTAAGAGTTTCTTACAAGTAAACCCTTGCCCTAAAAATCGCTTTTCCTATAAGTTATTAGGAACTGTTACATCTTTTCTATTAGATTTTATCAGTGATAGAAGGTAGAATCATAGGAACTGACAGTGGCGAGGGTCATTATAACAGTGATGTGTGTATTGCCAAAACTGGACATATGAGATGTTCATCCAGCCCAGCTTTGAGGGAATCAGAGAGGGCTTCTCATTTGAGAAAGGATTTCACTTGTGCAGCCCAGGCTAACCCGGGACTCGTAATCCTCCTGCTTTTGTTCCCTAAGTATTACAGTCCTACCCCCGGCTCCTCAGATTTAAATAAGAGGTTGTTGTTGTTATTGTTTTCCTACTTACACATAAAGGCAAAGCCAGAAAGTCTAGTGAAATGTCACGTAAAATAATTAAATGATGATCATGTGCACTTGATGGCCATTGCCGCCACACCTCAGCTGAGAAAGGACTTCAGGGAGTGTCCAGGTGTGTGTGCAGTGCGTTGATACTAGTGCCTGTGCGGCCTCCGCTGGCACAAGGGAACGTCTACACCATGTCATACTCTAAAAAGTTGTCTACATGAGGAACTATTACTTGTTAGAAAGGCAAGTCCTATTTCTTTAAAATAGTCAAATCAAAAATTTTTTAAATTTGCCATTTAGTAGAAGCAGCACTAAAGTCTAAAGCTTGAGTTCAGTGTTTACTTCATCACAGGCAAGCAACTGCATTTGCTTCAAATTTTAGTGATTGTAGGCTTTCCCTTCAAGTAAAGTGTTGGCTTAGGTGTGGGACTCGTGGAGCAGGAAGTTCCTACTCGTCCTCATTTTGACTTTTCTCTTGTTTCAGTCACCTTGCAGCTATGGCACATAAAACACTCCAGGTGAAAGACAGTCCTCCTGATGTGGCTGGGGTATGTTACTTTGACTGAAATTAACATTATAAAATGTTAGCTCTAAAAGTCTTAGGAAGTTTTCTGAAATATCTTGTTGATTAACTACAGCAGTATACTTTGTGACTTGGGTAATAAATAGAATTGGGCCATAATAATCTGTTTAAGTATTTCTCAAAATAGTAGACTACCAATGGTGTCTTCTTCTGTCAGGTGTCCAAGTGACAGTTTCTGCCACTCCACTGGAAGCTAGAATCTGTCTCCTTGCCTGGAGTATGCAAAGGACTGTCACACAGAATTCCTTCCTTAAATTAGAATAACTTCTAAAAACCATTCTTTATTTGCTTATGGATAACATAATCTTGAACATTTAATCATTTTTTATTTTGTAGGCTAGACTTCATCTTTTCAAAGCTGTCCGTTCTGTCCTCGCCAATGGGATGAAGCTTCTTGGAATTACACCTGTATGTAGAATGTAATATGTAATTTCTAATTAAAGTGTGGTTTTTAATGCCAAATAAGTTCTAGTTATAAGATGCCTTGCTGTTCGGAATAGAATTTACTGTTCTGTGCCAAAATTTTTTTATATATATGTATATATGTGTGTATATATGTTATGTATTTCTTTAGGGGGTGGGGTTGTTTCCAGACAGGGTTTCTCTGAGGCTAGCTTCAAACTCACAGATATCTACTTGTCTCTGCTTCCCAAATGCTGGGATTAAAGGCATGCGCCACTGCTACCACCTGATCAGAATATATATTTTCATATAGTAACATTAACTTATTTAATCTTTACTCTTAAAAAATGTGTATTTCATTCATGGTCAGTAGGTATTCAAACATGTAAGAAACTAAGATGAGTCTTTTAAATTTCAAACCTTGTGATATAATTGGGGCAAAAGACTAACATTTAAATTCTGGCCTGCAGTCATTTTCTCAAATACAAGTATGTGCGTATGTTATGTGTGTGCATGTATATGCACACATACTATATATTTAGATTGTGTATGTGCTAGCGACTGAGCCTGGAACTTTGTGTGCACTAGGCAAGGGCTCTACCACTGAATTATATACCTACCCTTCTTTTTAATTTTTTTATACTGAAGTAGAATGTCATGTAAATTGCCCATGTGCACTTTGAATTTATAACCTAGCCAGGCCTTGAATCTGTGATCCTACTGGCTTCGCTTATCTAGGGTTACAGGCCTGCACATTTAGACCCCGACAAGAACTTCTTTTCAGCTTCTTCTTGGTGGTGGTAGAGGGGTGTTCACTTGAAAGTCAGAGCACAGCTTCTGGAAGTTGGTTCTCTCCTTCTATGGTGGGTTCCAAATCCCAAACTTAGGGTGTCAGGCTCAGGCTTATACTCATAAGCATTGAAACAACTTTCTGGCCCCAGAAATCTTTTTATTTTCTTTTTTAGTCAATATGAGACAAGGTCTGTGTAGCCCCAGCTGGCCTGGAACTCACTATGTAAACCAGGCTGACTTGAACTCAGAGATATGCCTTTTGAGTGCTGGGATTAACAGGGAAAAAATTTATTTTTCGCATATACACGTCCCAACTGCAGTGTCCCCTCTCTCACCTCCCAGATTCCCCAGATCCACCCAGGGACATCAACCAAATACATGCTACAGTAAGGCTAGGCACAAACCATCACATCATGGCTGCACAAGGCAACCAAGTAGGAGGAAAAGGGTCCCACAAGCAGGCAAAAAGAGTCAGAGGACTTCCACTGTTAGGCGTCCCGCAAGAAATGTGCAGAGGGCCTAGGTCAGACCCTACAGGCTCCAACATGGCCCATAGAATCAACTGACTGGGACTCACGGGGGCTTGTAGAAATTATTCTTATAACTGAGATTACCTCCTGTTTTCATCTAATAATTGGTGAAGGTATTTTAACAGCAGCTAGTTCCTGGACCAAACACAGGGAGATGGAAAGTAAGCGCTGGCAGACAGCAGTGAGAACTGGCCTCGGGCTTACTGTTAGCTGGAATATACGGTAACAAACTGTGAAGTCAGGGACATACGCATCTAAATAGCAAGCAGCTACAGAACACTGAATTCAGGTTTTTGTCAAGTGTGGGCCAGTATTAAAGCATAATTTGAGGTGGAGTTTTGGCTTCCATGTATCTGCATACAGACAAGGTGGTTTGACTTGATTCAGTGATACGGGTTTAATTTAGCTAATAGTAAGTACGATGTGCTGTTTGAGAACCATCGCCATCTTCTGCCAGCATTTCTATTTGGCCGTCCACATTTAATCTAAATGTGATGTGGTAACAGTTGTAAGTGATTTGCTAATTTTCTACTTAGAGTAGCACTGACCTTCCTACAGCAAACCCGCTGTGGAATGAACGTGCACACTTGGGGCGTGTTTTACATATCTACTCTTTCTCTCCACTTCTTTGGAGAAACTCCTCAGACCACTGAGTAGTTCAGTCTTGAGCAAAATTATACAGGGATTAAGTCTTCAAAAATACAGTTCTTTGAAAAGACTTACTATGCTGTAATCTTCCCTAGAAATTCTTTTTTGCTCAAGGCTTGTAAGAATTAGATTACTTTGTTAAATTTTCATACGTAGAAAAAAAAGCCATGTTTTTGCATTATCATAGTGATCATATCCATAAAACAAAGTGACTACACAAAAGTGATATAAATAAATTTATTGCTGGATTTCCCCATTAACATTATAGAAATATTTTAAAATCACTGAAATCACTGAAAGTTCACAAATTCAGAGCCCAACAGGTAACCATAGTTTATAAAAAAAGAAAGTATAAAAGCGACTTAGAAAATTTTCTGAAAAGTATATCAGCTAACAGCAAAGAAATACGAACCAGACAGTGACTGGCACAAATACAGCACTGAAGTTCCCAGACAGAAGTCAGTGTCTGAGCTATGAAGCAGATTCTGTTTACACACTGAGTTTTGTTCTCAACTGTCTTATCTTATTCATTCTTCATTTTGATAAGAGAAGCTAGACTTTTTACTGCTACCTGGACAAAGTACTATCCATGATCTAGACCAGGAAGGTTCACTCTCCTCTCCCGGTACCTGAACAAGAGGACAGTGTGTACAGAAGTGGCTTTGGCACTTGAACCTTCAGACACCGTCTCAACCTTGTCGACTGAATGTTGTAGTTTCACCTGATGTTCTGACCCTGTATTGTCACCTCTGCTCTGTGTACATGAGACACACGCATGTAGTCCTGATACCATGTCAACTGAATGCTCCCTGTACACAATATACATACATACACGCACGCACTCACGCTCTCTCTCTCTCTCTCTCTCTCTCTCTCTCTCTCTCTCTCTCTCTCTCACTTTGTAGAAAGTCCTTCATTCTGAAGTAATACACTTGACACCAAACATACTCTGTTTTAGCACTTCACTCATTCAGTTTCCTTCTTGATTCTTATGTCATATAGTTAATCCATTGATACTGTTGAAGCTACCATCTGGGGTTGACTTAAGGCTCTAATTTATTATCAACAGTTAAGTCATTATAGGAACAGTTAAGATTCAAATCACACACCAATGATCCTTTCTTTTGCAGTTGCTTCTTGTTGAATAGATGTAGTGTCTTGTCTGGGTAAGCCATAGAGATATATGGAAACACACACAAGAAGAGCTCCCATTGCAAAGGAAAGTGCTGAAAAGAAAAAGAAAAATAACTTTTTTTCTTTAGACTAAAAAATGATGAACTTTAAGAAGCATTTTATGTGTGTAGGGTCCTGGGCATCATCCTTAGGAATGCTGTCCGTCCCTTTTTCAGCAAGGTCTCTCCTTTGCATGGAGCCCACCAAACCCAGGGATTCCTGCCCCCGCCTCCCTGGTGCTAGGACTGCAAGCACTTTATTAATGAGCCGTCCGTCATCCCACTCCTAAAGTCTTTTTCACTGTAGGCTGCACTACCAGGTCACACATGTTTTTATGAGAAGTTATCTATTCTAAGCAGAAAGGAAATTGGAGGGAAAAGATAAATATCAAAGGAGCGATAACACACTTTTCAAAAGCATTAGTAAGCCTCCTATCTTGGACTACCCCAACAAAGGGATATGTTGTTTTCCCTAGAAGACACACAGTGAGAGGAAGTAAATGTAATATAAATATGTGCACGGTGTGTGTATGAATAGGAAAAAAAATGTGCTGTGATATGGCTTGCTTACGATCCCAGAAAGCTTAATGTGAAAGATAGCTACACAAAATTCAGCTTTCAAAAACCAGAGATCAAAAACCACTGAAAATTTCTGGATAGGTGATAAAGTGATTATTGTGTTTCCTGCCATGCTTGCCTCTTTTTCATGCTACTCCTGAAAACTGGGATGTACAAAACTTGTACGAGGGCTGAAGTGCCTGTTGCACAAGCCTGGGAGCCTGAATCACCAGCACTCATCCAAAGGCTGGCACGTCTGCAGCCTCGGTGCTGTGGGAATTGTGGGAGCAGACACAGACCACCCCTGGAGCTGTCTGTCAGCTAGTCTAGCCAAACAGTGAGTGGGAGAGCAACTGATCCACGTGGACCCACACACCAAAGAGAAAAAAACAAAATAGTAATAATAAAATCCCTTCTATAAGCTTCATATGTAGGCATTATATAAATAAATACTAATGTCAAAACTGTATACTTAAAACTGAACCACATTCTATACATATTAACTGTATTGCACAGTGGTTCAATATTGATACCTTTAAAAATTGGCATGTTGGTACATGCCTGGCAGTTATTTTTATTCTTAAGGAATTGTGACAAGAAGTATATTTATATTCAGACAGTTTTCTCCCTAATATTTTCTAACATGATTGAATCCACAGATGCAGAAGCCACAGTTATAGAGGACCAAATGTACAACCTGGCTCACCTAAAACATCTGTATGTAATATTTAAGGGAACGAGGACACTGAAGTGTTGCATAATCTCCTTCACACAGCTGCACACCACAGAATAAACTGCAGCAAAATTAGGATTGCTCTAAATAAGAATTGGAGCAGACCATGTTAACAACTTACTTATCTGTAACCCAAACAGGATGACTGAGGCAATGGTAGAAAGAACAATGGCCGCGGCTGCGGAGAAGCCTTTCATGATGTTGTCTGTGTACTTGACCACAACAGAGGTGTAGAGTCCACCAACACTAGCAAGGACTTAGGAGACAGAAAGAAATAAGATCTCAGTACTCAATCATGAAAACATTCCATCCCCAGAGATGGCACACTCATTTACCTAGGACAAGGAGAACAGTTTTCTTCAGAAGCAAGTCTCTGATGTGCAAAAGACTAGTCCACTACTAAATCAGACACAGTTATTATAACACAAGATTCTTTCTGATTATTTCTCTGAGATAGCAAGTTGATAAAAACAAAATTATATATTCTGAACTGGTATTCATCACTTTATCAAAGGAATAATTCCAAAATGCTGTAAGTGCCTAGGACAGACATCTAACTTAGGAGTTAAAATAAAAAACAAAAAGAATCTACTCAGACCTTTTATTCCTGGATACTTACAGATGACAAACCAGACATAATACGTGTAACCATAGAAAAATCCTTTTTCTTTAATTCCAACTCCGTCTGACAAGTAGGCACCAACTAACGTCACAGCAATCCCAGACAGATACATCTGAATGTTTCTCACCCAAAGGGAAGTGTCTGAACTCTTTAAAACTTTTTCAAAATAAACTCCTAGAAAAAAAAAGGACATAGATGTATTAAGGATATTATGAATTAACTAATGATATTCTGTTTAGAACACACCCCAAGTGCATGATTTGGGGAAGAAATATTCTTAGTATTAGTTAAGTACACGTTTGTTATGTAGTTTACGACATGATTATTAAACATCACCACATTGCTTTTACAAAGCATATAGATTAATAATGAAGAGAAAACGTCATAAGCTCCATTTGACAAACAGTTGTTAAATAGTCAAGAACAGTTTTCCCTTTAGATTAAAGAACTCTCTACTCCTTAATACCGATCTAAAGCTACAGCACTAGAGTGATTACAGTGAGTTCTCCTACTCCCTCCCCCGTGACATTGTGAGGATGAGCGTGTCTCACTGTTGGAGCAGCTGGTGTCGCTCCAGTGACAGAACCAAACCAAAGTAAGCTGCAGCTTTCCGAGTAACGCTGTTCTCCTTAAACTGGTCTGCAGACAACATCATATGCCTGGGAACTGCTAATTACGTATTAAATTTGTGTGTAGATGTATTTTTCCCAGGACTTGTGTAGGGGGTAGGGCTCAAAAAAATGTTTTTCCCCCCTTAGAGAAAAGGGAGTAAAAAAAAAAAAACTTTTGTCCCTAAAAAGTCAAATACCCCTGTCAGGCTTTAAAGTTAGATGAATGCATGTTGACCCAGAGACACTGGGAACTGCTATTTACCAACTAGAAAGTATAACTAAAAATAATTTTTATATTAATCTTTATTTTGGGGACAGGATCTCACCATGTGGCCCTGGCTAGCCTGGAACTGTAGATCAGGCTGACTTTGAATCTGCCTGCCTCTACCTCTCAGGTCCTGCCACCGTACCTGGCAAAAACAAGACTGATTTTGATGAGGCAGACTACGGCAACAAACATAGAATAGCTGTTAAAACTTCCCACTTAGACTTTCTGTCTGGAAAAGGCATTGCTAGTCAGTGATGTTACTTCAGGACAGGACAAGCATTAACCCACCTTCTGCTTCCTCAGCTCTAAGCAGAGGCTAGACTAAAGAGGATATGAGGTATAAGCATTTCACTGTTCAAAGATATTACTGAAAATCAAAAGAATATTTTTTGGTGATTAAAATTTTGTTCCTAATTTGTTGATTCTTAAAAATAAAGAGTTTATTTACCATGACTATGGTTAATTGAGTATATTCCTAAATTTAACCTTTCTCTTCTGCTATAAAACATTTATAAGCAATATTTTATTTCTATGTCTTTCCTGTTTTCCTAGTTAAAAAAAAAACACATCACTCTTGAAATAGGTGGAAATAGAGATATACAAATACCACTAATATATTCTTATTAAAAAGCTCTTGAGTTTCATACCTGTTGGAGCTATTTCTGTAACACATTTCATTTCTTATATTAAGCTTCGTATATTTCTTATCTTTTCTTAATTCATGAGAGGAATAATTGTCCCTAATATGACTCCATACTTTCCTGTTTCCTTGATGTTTTGGCTGTTCTTCTTTGATATTATGTTTGCTAAGGTACATTTCACCCACCTCCTCTTTCTATTCCATAGCTCCTAGTCTGTTGAAGCAAAGGAAGAACTTGAGATTATAGGTACAAGACAGTCTAAGCTGGTTATCCTAGTAACCATGGCAGCAGAGACAAGTTTGAAAACAGTGATACTTCGGGGGCATGGGAAGTACTCATTGCGGCCTCCTTGAAGGTTAATTCCCTTCATTGCTGGAGGCCTTTCCATTAACTTTTGGTCCTTGGCTAAACTAAGATGGCCAAGAATGGCCGAAGTATATTCCTAGCTGCAATTCTGAAATCTGAACAACTGTGGTAAGTGAATCACATACTTACGGGGAGAGGGAGGGAAATAGCTGACACAAAACAACGTAAGAAGGAATTTAAAGTCTTAATGGGAATAAAATTGTTAGGAAAAAAACAAGGAAATGAGATCCAGTTTTTATAGTTACGTGATAACACGGTGCTTTCACAACTTACCTGCAAACCCAGAGCACAAGACAGCAATAGCTATGGCACAGAAGCCTAATAATGGGTTCTGCTCTACCTGCAATTGTAAGTTTTTAAAGTTACTCTTAGTAAGTGCAACCAAATTAACCCAACAGTCCAAAGAAATAACTACAAATATACATGTTGCCAGGCCTGGTGACACATGCCTTTAATCCCAGCACGCAGAGGCAGGTGGATCTCTAGGAGTTCCAGGCCAGCTAGGGGTATATATTAAGACCTTGTCTTTAAAAAAAGAAAAAGAGAAGGCCTACTTTATGCTTCTACTAAAAGTACATTTCCTATCAGACATAATTAAATAAGAATGATAAAGCAGCAAACAAAATGAAAAAACAATTTTCAAATTAACCAAAGCATTTAAGTTGAATGTACAATATAACATGTACACCTCAATTTCCAAGTACTTGACCTGCTTACTAATTTTAATTTCTGCTTCTGAACTAAAGTATCAGTCCTGAGCATGGTACAGTAAGTAAGATAACTTACTCCCTTATGTTTTGGATAAAGTACTAACTTTTGACACTACACACTTTACTGAATTTTTACCAAATACTTACACCGTTCTGTGTACCAGAATCATTGCTGTATGCTAAGCAGATAAGTGATAACACACATCTCGGAATGGCCCTTAACAGCTTCATGTACAGGGGAGATTGACAGGTGTATATAGAAGATGTATGTATATAACCCAGCATACTGTTTCAGCTCTCGTTTTCTTCCTTCCCTAAACGAACTTTCAGGAGCGTCATCTGTCATCCTGAGAAATGAATACTACCTCAGTACTCCCCTGGAATTAAAGCATTGGGACACAGGACTGTATGTACTATAGTAAGGATGAGACACCTTGTTCAACAGCAGAAAGCCTAATGTCAGCAGTGCCTGGGACTGAGACATAAAGTGTAGCCTAAAATGTCCAGTCGTCACTGAAAACTAACAACATTTTATTTCTGGGATACTAAAGGATTTTAATGACCCTCTGTGATTCCTGACTATTGCTCAAGTTACAGTCTGTAGTCTCAGTATTTTGTAAACAGGAACCTGGTATATACTAGTATAACAACAAAATGAAAAAGAAACTGAAATTTGGAAATCCAAGCCTAATAGTCCGAGCTCCAACAGTGTATAGGATCTTAGGATACAATTAATCTAATTCTTAACCAGAAAGTAACCCACTGTTACAAGGTGGTGTGGAATGAATGTAAGCAAAAACTCCTGTCCACATGGTAGATACTCCACAGGAGAATTCTCATCTGAGTTTAAATGCAAATACTGGTTTAGGATAAGCTAGCTACACTCGAAATTCAAAACAAGTTGTACTTATAAAACATCAGTTGTATATAGCCAATTAAAAAGATAAACTCGCCCAAAACTGACTATATGGTGACTTAGCAGACCTCTGTTTAAAGCAAAGGAGTAATATCAAGCTATGTCTGATACAATTCAGGTAGTATCTAGACATTGAATCCAGTTTTAGGGCATACTGTGGAGCAATGACAGAATGATACATCTGGAAGTGAAATACCGGCCTCAGGAAGCTCTCTAGAAACAGGCCACAGAAATAAACGAGTTTAAATTGGGACACCTGAAGAGTAGGGTGTGACATTACCTCACGCACTCACACGTCCATCCTATGAAGGTAATATTTTCATTGTTATGACATGAAGAATAACGAGGCTTATAGCACTCTGAAAAATCGGGCAAGTTCCTTAACAGTCATTTTGAAACCGTCACATAAAGGGCTATTTTTACTACTTTTGTATCAATGTCAGAACACTCCTCCACTGTCCTATGGCTGACAGTGGGCATACTGCCAGAGACTAAATGAAAGGGAATGAAAACTGGACGGGGAAACCATACTCAGCATTTCCAAAAGCAGCTTAAAACCATCTAGAAACTGCAATGGCACGAAGAAGCCTGTACAGTTCAGCTATTAACTGTCTGTGGACAGTTACCTCACCTTTCCTAGAGTTGTTTGTGGAGGTTTAAATGAGATGGATGCCCCAATAGGCTGAGATGTTTGAATCCTTAGTCATCTCAGTGAGGATGTTTGATAGATTTAGAAGATGTGGCCTTGCCATAGGAGTATGTCACTTGGAATAGGCCTTAAGGCTTCAAAGCCATGTCGTTCCTCGTCTGCTCTGTTTTGTGTTGTGGTTCAAGCTATGAGCCCTTCAGCTTCTGTTCCGGCCACACGTGTGGACTGCCACCATTCCGCCATCATGGACCCATAAGCCCAGATAAACTCTTCTCTAAGCTGCCTTGGTCATGATGTTTCATCACAGCAATAGAAAGGTTACTAATACAGTGTGCTGTTATCCATTAAAAAGGCATATACTGAGGAATGTTTTCTATCACTAATATATTTTAACACTTTCTTCTTAGAAACAGAAAGCCGGTGGTATTAGCTACTTTTCTGTTGCAGCGATAAGCATCATGACAAGGCAATTGATGCAAGAGTGGGTTTTCTTTGGGCTGAAGCAGTGTCACACAGGGGAAGGCAGCAAGTAAGCATAGCAGCAGACAGTTCACATCTTAAACCATAGCAACAACCACTGCAGAGGGAACTGAATTGCGAACGGTAAATGGCTTTTAAAACCTCAAAGTAGCACACTTCTTCCAGCAAGACCACATCTCCTAAGCCTCCTAAAAACATCACCAGCCAGGAGTCAAATACATGGTCTACCAGAGAGCGGGGGCATCTCATTTAAACTGTAACACCATACTAAGTATTATGATCCTCAGTAACTAATGCTAACGAGGAAAGCCCACCTATAAGGCAGAGTGCATTTGACATCAAAAGTAATGCTACTCTCCATTCATCAGCGTGACTGGATGGCGTGATTAGGTGCTGTACGAGAGGAGTTTCCTTTTTACCTATGGCACATGATTTTGTTTCTTACCACGACTTTTGTAGCCTGGGCAGGTTTCCATTGTACAAGTGTGACCCCAGCACACAGCATAAAAACCGAAATCCACTGTAATTTGCTGAGTGTTCGATTTAACATTAAAACGGTACATAAAGCAGTACAGGGAATCTTCAGTTGATAGGTCACCTAGAAACAAATAATAAATTCATCTAATGTTAGTCTTTTACAGAAATATCTCCTATCACTGGGAGAATTAAGAAAATACTTGTGAATGTAGTAAAGAGTTAATTAAGAAAATCTCCATTGGAGAAATTCAGCAACCTCAAATCCCAGTTTTCTTTTGAGACAAGATCTCAATATCTATCCATGGCTGGCCTCAAACTCAGAGATCTAGAGTCTAGGATTAAAGGTATGCACCACCATGTCTCAGTTCAGAGCTTTTATATCATTAACTGCACTCACCTGGTAGACTGCTGCGTCCAGGTTACTCAGAGCTAGGAAAGCCATGTTGTTCTGAATAGCATACACCAGTGATGGCACACTTAACTTCACCAGTTCCTTGGGGCTCCCCAGGACATTTTCACTTAAAGACGCCTTAAATCTATCCAAGCTTCCAGTTTCTCTTTGAAAATATAAGAGGAGATGAAAGTGGTGAGGCAGGAAATTCAATACTTCCCCACCCAGTGTCAGGCGCAGAAGCCAGTTCTTGTGCATGCTGAGCAAGTCATCCACCACTGAGCTACACCCTGACCTTCTGTTCTTGAGACAGGGTCTTGTTCTGTGGCTGACTTGAATTTAGGATCCCCTTCCTTCACCTCCCAGATGCGGGGGTTACAGGCATACACACATCTGTAGCATTCTGTGAATGAGACTCCACACCCAGTTGAGTACCTGAAGTAATTTAGAATGGACTCTTAAGAACTCTGCCAACTAATGCAAGACTTATTTAAAGAAACAGACCTATAAAACTTAAATTCTACTTAGAAAAAAGTATGATAACTAAGTAGGATTATCACCAAAATCCTCTGGCCAAAGTTTTTAGTATGATTAGTAATAGATATCAGCAGACAAAATTAATGCTCTGTCACTCCAGCTCTGTTGTACCAAGTATGCCTCAACATCTTTACAACTGATCAGGCTGCATAGCCATAGCTCTAGACTGTCCTTCAAATAATGCATTTAAATGAAAACAAGAGAAGGCTATAGTGGTTATACACTTGGGTCTGAAAGCATGTGGTTCTTATTATTTATAAATTTACTCAGTGCTGATTATAATAGGTAATAAATTTTTATATAAACATACTTTTAAAATATATGTATAGTTCTATAGAAAATCCGAAAAACTGATTAACGTCAATAAAAGTAAACTATATCTTTAATATAAAAAAAAAAGCCACATTAACCAAAGGCCAGGTTAACCAAGGCTAACATAGCTTATACTTCCCATACAGAAAATCACCTCATTTGCTTCCTAAATATAAAAATAAAACAATATTTTATAATAAGCATCAATATTCCTCAAAACAAACTTTATCAAAATTGTCCTAGATGTAACTGAGAGCACCCTTAAAGGACCATACTCATATTCACGATAATCACAATGAACCTGTGCTTTTTATTAGCATTAGAATCAATACTTGTGATTATTTTCACATTTAAATGCTGCAGGAACAATTAAAGTCCTGGGGAAGGCGACAAAATTTTGGTGCATTATATCAAACTGATTATTCCTATTCATTCATTGTAGAACATTCTAGCCCTCAAGAAAATATTCTACTTAAGACAGGAAATTTGGTCTAGACCACAGGAACACAAAGCTTCTTTCCAGTTACAGATCTATTACCAAGTTCACAAGTCTCCGTACTACAGTGTTATACTCTATGCTGAAAAGTTCTGTGCAGTCTGGGCTGGGGGCTATAAATACTACGAGGGGAAAAGGAATCCAAATACACACACGCGCACTTTTCCAAGCAATCTGAACATCTTTAAACATTTCTTTTGTGAGGGAATGAGATAACTCAGGGCCTTCTTTGCATATTCTAGGCAAGCACTCAACCACTGATCTACATCCCCAAGTCCTTGGGTGCTTCCTAATAAATGTCTAAAATGTACTATATACTTGACTAACATCTTAACCAGAGTGTAAAGAACAATATTTCAATTATTTTCTCCTCCATTATAAAGTTAAAATAACTGCCAAGAGGTCAAATTCAAGTGTGATGGTTAGCTTGAATTGTCAATTTGACACAATCTAGAATCATTTTGGAAGGGATCTGAGTGAGATTTTCTGGATTAAGTTGCCCTATAGGCTTGTGTGTGGAGAATTCTCTTGACTGTTCTTTAGGCTGGGAAGGCCCACCTACTGTAGGTATCACATTCCCTCAGAAGAGGACTGCCACTAGCATCTGTGTTCCACATTCCCTCAGTGTAGACACATGTGATCACCTGCCTCTAACTGCTGCCACCGTGACTTCCCTGCCAGGAGGCTTGAAACCTGTAACTGTAAGCTAATAAACCCTTTGTCTCTTTTATTTGTTAGAGCAGTTTTGTCACAGCAACAGGAAAAGAAACTAAGACCAAAGAACCCTCTTTAAAAAAAGATTATATATCAGAAAACGTAATAGTTCATGGTTTTTCATACTTACCACTAGTCCGCATCATATGACAGTACAGGTCTAATTCCTACATGTATAGGCTCTACCATGTATTCTTCTAAATGCCGACTTGCACACACTACCTCGTCTTCAGAATGGCTCCCTGGAGAAACTACTGAGTGACATTGTTTGTACATCAGCACCAGCCTCCTACCTTCTCCTAGATCTGTTTCACTCCAACAGAAGGTTCTTCGTGCTGATCCTTCCCAGACTATAGTTAATGGTTAGTATCCTTTTCTAACCCCCATTTACTGTCAACTCTTAGCGTTAAGAGGCAGATTCAACACTATCAGTGACATTTTTTTTCAGATATCCACAGAACAGAACTGGCTAGCCTAAATTACTTCTAAGATGGCCTTGATTACACAGTGAAACCTTGCCCCAAAACCCAACAGAAAAACAAGAAAATTCATGATGAAACCAAATCTTTCTTTCTGATCCAAAGTAGGCCTCCTTTAGCAAGAACAATCAGAAAGAGAAAATCCTTGACTGGGTTGCCAAGGCACTGTACGAACACAACACTAAGGTTACTTGTGATAGACATTTCAGCTTTGTTTACAAATGTCTTATCTGCAAAGTTTAGGACACTGAAAATTAAGGCATGTTATATGAGAAAATACATGAGGTGCATGATTTTTATTTCTTCCCTAAGTCTCTGAACATTATTACAGCAGGGGTACTAAGAGGTAGAGAAAATGTCCACCCAACAGGATAAATGAATAAGGCTAGAAAATCTACGACTTATGTATTTATCAGATTTTATAGTGTTATAGTAACACTATAAAACAGTAAAAGACTCCTCTGTGACCTTATTATAGATAAGTAGCTTAAAGAGTGTGGTGTATTTTAACTACTGGAAGACATCCAAGGTCTAAGTACATCAACATTTACACATCCTGCCAGGGCCACGCCATCCGTGGACCGTGGGGAAGAACAAACAATGAACAAGCCAGTTCTCTTCTGAAGCAGAATGGAAGTGTCTTCACCTCCTTTCCCTTACCCTACCAGTGACAGGTTTACCTTGTACATCAGTGTTAATGGGCTTCAGAGGGGTCAGTAGAGCAGATAGCTAATAAGTGATTTTCCTGTGAAACTACTAAATCAGTTTCATGAGCAAACAAAACAATCTTTAAAAGTGCTTTATATTTTAAAGAATAGTTAGAACTCCAGTTATCCAAACAGATCTCCATATCTATATAGCAAGCTTCTATTCTGTCACTACTGGCCTGTCCCTCTTCCCCCAAAACACTATCTCCTGATTGACTTTTTCATTTCAAAGTGATCTGAGAAAAGTGCCTTCAGTGTTAAAGTACCTGCCTAGCATGTATAAAATTCTGGGTTCAATCCCAGCACTTCAAAGAACAATAGAAACAAAAAAGTATCTGATAAAATCACACGGGCACACAACAGTCTATCTATGGACAAAGATAAACACTGTCTTATTATGTAATAGGAAGAAACTGGAAACAAACCAAATGTCCATGAATAGTAACTGGCATGTATCATACGTATATACAGTGGCCTTTGCAGAGAGATTTGTATGTACTGACATGAAGACATTTATGTATGAAAAATGATAAAACATTTCAGTACAGAAACTTAAGTTAATACAGTTACTGTATTCCATACCCAGTGCCCAGCAATTTCCTGCATATTAAAATTTCACTAATTAGACCACATAAGCTTTGTCAAAGTACCCATCCATATATTCCTCCACATATTCAATATTCTCTCTTCCTGACATTCTAATTTATGGTTTAGTCAGTATAATTTCATATTCCAAAGACTCTGAAAAACTATGAGTAAAATCAGTAAGAATGAAGAAACACTAAACAAAGTAAAAGCTGAAATCATTACTTCAAATGTATAAAGATGTATAAAAAAATTCTATTTCAGAGCTGGAAAAGAGAATGCAACCACCCTAACACGTTATTCACTACAGGTTCTAACACTTAAAGCATAAAACTGCATACAGATTACTGAACATCAGTAACTTTGTACTAGAAAATCTTTTTAAAGCCAGGCGGTGGTGGCTCACGTCTTTAATCTCAGCGCTTGGGAGGCAGAGGCAGGCGGGTCTCCTTGATCAGACCAGCCTGGTCTACTATAGTGTCATTTCATTTGTATTTTGATAAATAAAGCTTGCCTGAAGATAAGAGAGTAAAACCACCCCACTGGTCAGCCTTACACAGACCAGGCAGTGGTACCACACACCTTAAATCCCAGTAGCCACTAGTTGCCATAGAAACAGGGTGGTGCAGGCCTTAATCCCAGCACTAGAGAGGAATATAAAACAGAAGGAGACAGCTCTCAGTCTCGGTCTTATTCTGAGATTCCTTGGGTCAGGATCGCCATTTTGGACTGAGGTCAAA